GAGCCCGCATACCAGGCGCGCGGAGCCTGCATTTCAGGCGAGCGGAGCCCGCATTTCAGGCCAGCGGAGCCCGCATTCCAGGCGAGCGGAGCCCGCATACCAGGCGAGCGGAGCCCGCATACCAGGCGAGCGGAGCCCGCATACCAGGCGAGCGGAGCCCGCATACCAGGCGAGCGGAGCCCGCATTCCAGGCGAGCGGAGCCCGCATACCAGGCGCGCGGAGCCCGCATACCAGGCGCGCGGAGCCCGCATACCAGGCGCGCGGAGCCCGCATACCAGGCGCGCGGAGCCCACGTACCAGGCGCGCGGAGCCCGCGTACCAGGCGAGCGGAGCCAGGGCTGACGCTATCAGACTAAATAGTCTGATTAGTCTGACGAATCAGACCATCCAGTTTGTGAAAAATGGAATTCCAGAGTAGTCAAATTTTCATTACTGAGAGCCTCAGAGTTATTGTTTTATGGCCCCTGATTCAGTATAATAGGCCTAAGTGTTAGTTGTTTCTGGAGTCTGTCACTACAGAGTATGCGTTCTGTGGTCCCTGCATGCGAGTTTATCGGGAGGAAGATTCCTCGAAATTTCCTCTCGATATACCCACCTCCGAGGTGGCAGCGAATGCCAACACGTGAGCAAAGCACACAGCACCAGCTGCGATATCTGAATACACTCTTTCTGCAGTAGTATCACGCAGGTTGAATTGTGTCCCACTTTGGTTAACCGTTGAAGCGGGCAAATGAAAGAAGCCCAATAGTGATTTCATAGTGGATAGCATATCGAATCGGCGAATCGGTAGGAGATGATATCTTGCCATAGGTAATGTATCGCAATTTTTTTTTGCTGAAATCGAAAATTTATCCGCACCACAGCACTTGAAATAAATTGTTACTGATTCGTAGATTGGAAATTTGTGTTGCGGAGGCACCGGCAGATTCTCGCGCGACTAGTGATGGTTTGTGGCTTGTGCCAGCTCAGCTGTGTGACAGGTCGCCCAGTTGGCACTTGCAAAGTTGCGCCAGATCGAACCACTTACATATTGCAACAGTCCTTCTCGCCACTTGAAGCTCACGACAAACCAGAAGGAAAAAACAAAAAAAAACCGCGACTCTGAATTCATTCCCCCAACACTGAAGGCCCAGAGTTGTGTGTTTTTCAACCCTGATTTCTTCTAACACGCTCAGAGTGGCCATTTTGTGGCCGAAGTGCCGTCAGAGTAGAACAAAATTTTGCGGGTCAATAACAGGGAGGCATGTTTTTGAAACGTCAGCCCTGAGCGGAGCCTGCATTCCAGGCGAGCGGAGCCCGCATTCCAGGCGAGCGAGCCCGCATTCCAGGCGACGAGCACACTGCTGCTCTCGGCGACCACCACGCGCACAACCAAAGCGGATACTGCGCACTGACGGAGAGCAAAGGGCAGCACACGCCCCTGCGGGTAGCCCGAGAGGAGAGCCCAGGTGAGTGCCCAATTCCCTGCTACTCGACTATAGAACAGCGATACTGGTTGCTGCTGCCTTTGCCGGTCGCTCGAGAGGAGAGCCCAGGTGAGTGCCCAATTCCCTGCTACTCGACTATAGAACAGCGATACTGGTTGCTGCTGCCTTTGCCGGTCGCTCGAGAGGAGAGCCCAGGTGAGTGCCCAATTCCCTGCTACTCGACTATAGAACAGCGATACTGGTTGCTGCTGCCTTTGCCGGTCGCTCGAGAGGAGAGCCCAGGTGAGTGCCAGCGATACTGCTTGCACTTGCATGGACACACCAGCCCACACCCAAGGCAAAGCAACTCTTGTTGCTGCTGCCTTGGGTGTGCATGCACTTGCATGCACTCACCAGCCCACAACCAAGGTACAGCACAGCAACTCTTGTTATTGCGGCCTTGTGCCGGCATGCACTTGCATGCACTCACCAGCCCACGCTCAAGGCACAACAACTCTTGTTGCTGCGGCCTTGGGCCTGCATGCAATTACCTGCACTCACCAGCCCACGCCCAAGGCTTAGCAACTCTTGTTGCTGCTGCCTTGGGCCTGCTTGCACTTGCATGCACTCACCAGCCCACACCCAAGGCACAGCAACTCTTGTTGTTGCTGCCTTGGGCCTGCATGCACTTGCATGCACACACCAGCCCACAACCAAGGCACAGCAACTCTTGTTGCTGCTGCCTTGGGCCTGCATGCACTTGCATGCACACACCAGCCCACAACCAAGGCACAGCAACTCTTGTTGCTGCGGCCTTGTGCCTGCATGCACTTGCATGCACTCACCAGCCCACGCCCAAGGCTTAGCAACTCTTGTTGCTGCTGCCTTGGGCCTGCTTGCACTTGCATGCACACACCAGCCCACACCCAAGGCACAGCAACTCTTGTTGCTGCTGCCTTGGGCCTGCATGCACTTGCATGCACACACCAGCCCACAACCAAGGCACAACAACTCTTGTTGCGGCTGCCTTGTGCCTGCATGCAATTACCTGCACTCACCAGCCCACGCCCAAGGCTTAGCACCTCTTGTTGCTGCTGCCTTGGGCCTGCATGCAATTACCTGCACTCACCAGCCCACGCCCAAGGCTAAGCAACTCTTGTTGCTGCTGCCTTGGGCCTGCATGCACTTGCATGCACACACTATCCCACGTCCAAGGCAAAGCAACTCTTGTTGCTGCTGCCTTGGGCCTGCATGCACTTGCATGCACTCACCAGCCCACGCCCATGGCACAGCAACTCTTGTTTCTACTGCCTTGGGCCTGCATGCACTTGCGTGCACTCACCAGCCCACGCCCAAGCCTTAGCAACTCTTGTTGCTGCTGCCTTGGGCCTGCATGCACTTGCATGCACACACCAGCTCACACCCAAGGCACAGCAACTCTTGTTGCTGCGGCCTTGGGCCTGCATGCAATTACCTGCACTCACCAGCCCACGTCCAAGGCACAGCAACTCTTGTTGCTGCTGCCTTGGGCCTGCATGCACTTGCGTGCACTCACCAGCCCACGCCCAAGGCTTAGCAACTCTTGTTGCTGCTGCCTTGGGCCTGCATGCACTTGCATGCACTCACCAGCCCACACCCAAGGCACAGCAACTCTTGTTGCTGTTGCCTTGTGCCTGCATGCACTTGCATGCACTCACAGCACCAGCCCAAGTGAATAATGTCATTGTATCTGTACATGGCTCTTACTCATGTCACCAACATGCTATCCAGCGTAAGATGTTCACCAATCCGCGTTTTCCGCTCCCTCCTTATGTTGTTTGTAGGTGATGTGTCAAACCTCCCACGCTAAGCGTTTGAGGCGAACATCTAGTGAGATGTCAAACCCGCACGAGGCTTGCTCGGCATCACACATAACCACAATGTCGCCTACCACAACAATCCACACCCCCCAAGGTATTTGACTAACACCCCACTCCCTATGCCAAACCGCATCTAAAATCTGTACAGCCATAAAGCCATGCCATGCTTGGTGCCTGCCGTGTCCTGGCCCCCACATCCCATCCTTGTTTGCTATCACTAAGCATGCCATGCCATGCCCTTCCCTGTCCAAGCACGCACCGCCATTGTCTGCTCGTCATGCTATGCCATGGGCGGCCATTTCTATGTTCATGTGCCCTGTTATGCCCTTCCCCGCCCTGCCCTGCCCTGTCTTGCCCCGTTCACAACCTTGTCTGCACTCTATATGCATTCCATGCCATGCCTAGAGGGGCCATGCCCTGCCCTACCTTGTTATGGCCCGCCCCACCCTGGTCTGCTCCATCCATACATGTCATGCCATGCCCTGCCCTGCCCTGCCCTGCCCTGTCAGGCCCCGCCCCGCCCTTGTCCCCCCCACCCCAGGCAGGCCCTACCACTGCCATGCCCTGCCGTAGTGAGCTGGATGAGATTAGGTTTAGTGACAGGCACAACACAGGTTACCACTGTGAGAGGGATGTGGATGACACCCCATCGGATGTGGAAGAGTGGAGCGACAATAGTGATAGTGGTGGGTAGAAGGCCGCTATGATGGGGAGGAGGTGGAGGTGTGGGTGGCAGGTCAGGAACAATAAATGGTTTGTGTTTACACCACCACTTCGCTATTGTGGTCTTGAACATGCCATGCTTGAGGTGTTTTATTAGACTTGCCGTTCTAGCCTATCCCTATATCTAATAGGATGGTAATAAGTTTGTACCAATCTGCATATCGACCGCTTAAAGGACTGCTTGCACATATTATTGTTGCAATAGACAATTTATGCAGTAACACGTGTGACCCAAATTACACCTGTGAACAGGCGCGGGTCCACCATGCATGCGACAAGTTATACTAATGCCAACCCCAGTATCAATCAATGGTGTCGCTATCTGCGTGGAGTTTTGCTCCTCATGCTTCTGTACGCATAAACATGAGAAAACCATGCTTCTGTAAAAGCGGCAGGTGCTCTGGACCCACCTCCCCAAACAACAGCACCGGCCGCTGCATACGAGCACACAGATCTCCCGAGTGGGTTCGGGGGCAGGAAGAGGAAGAAAGAGGGACCTGGAGGGAACGAGGGATGGCAGTGGGTACGTGTGGAGAAGCTGGGCACAGAAGCAGGAGGTGAGGGGGGGTGTGGGAGAGGCGTGGCTGGGTGGATAGGCAAGCGGGTCAAAACAAGGGTTCTGTTGGCAAGCGCACACACATCGCCTGAGGGTTCTGCGATTTGGGTTTTGGGAAGGGCGCACTTGTTTTATGCTGAAGCTGTGGCTCTGATGTTCCATAGTGGCACTGAGCACACCGGCACAGCAACACATCATTCACAGCATCACAGAAACACAGCATCAGACCATCACAACATCACCAACCGTTATGGTACCTGGTGTCTGCAATGCCTTTCACCACTCCCTGACTCAGCATTCCTACATGCCCTTCTCCCAACCCTACGACACCTCAATACACCACGCATCACCACACCACACCGAACCGATTCTTACCACAACCCTATACTGATGAAATAGAGACGTGCAGGAGGAGGTGGTGGTTGGGGAGGTGGAAGAGGCGGATGAAGCGGTGGCTATGACGGGGGAAGGCGGGTGGTGTGTGGGGGGCTGTGGAGGTGAATATGAGGGGGGAAGGCGGGTGGTGTGTGGGGGGGTGTGGAGGTGGAGTAAGATGCCAAATCCATGAGGTTGATAGGTAACGATGGAGGGAAGAGATGGTCCACTAGGAAGCACAACAGACTCACGCCGCGCACATTGCGCCAGTCCCTCTGCAAGGCTTCTCGGTCGTGCTCCTGGCAGGTGAGAGGGAAGGAGCAGGAACAGGAGGGAGTGGAGAGGCAAAGGGTGTGCACGAGAGAGGAGGGGTGCATGGGAGGGAGAGGCAAGGTTTCAGGGGGAGGGACATGCCACTATGATAGGATAGTGATACGGGGAGGGGCATATGAGGAAAGCCACTGCTCAACTGGTGTGTGACGCTCACCACTCTGAGGGTGGGGGAAAACCATGGGGGAGGGTGGGGGGAGGCAGGTAGGAGGGAGGGGGCAAGCAGGGAGGATGAATGGGGGAAGCAGGGAGGAGGGAGGGGGCGCGCTGGGAGGAGGGAGGGGTCAAGCAGAGAGGAGGGATTCGGTGTTTACTGTTCTGTCTCCACATGTGTCATTCTCCCTCTGTCTATCCCCTTATGTCCGCCACCCTGTGCCTTCCCCCTGTGTCTCTCCCCCTCTGTCCTTCCCCCTCTCTCCCTTATCCTTCAACCTCTGACTGCGGGAAGGAAGGAGATAGAGAGAGGGGTGGGAAGGAAGGAGTGCAGAGAGTCCAAGAGGAAGAGGGAGAAAGTGAGGGAGAGACGGATTTGGGGAGAGGGCAAAAGGGAAAGTCGTTGTCGGTATCAAGGATTGGGCTAGATAGCTAAAAAGGGAGGGGGAGAGGGAAGAGAGGGAGAAAGGCAAGAGAGCGAGACAGGGAAGAGGTGGAGAGGGAGAGAGGGACAGAGGAATAAAGGTAGATAGCAAGGTAGGGAGGGACGGAGGGAGATAGGAAGAGAGGGGAGAGGGAGGGATGGAGGGAGGAAGAGAGGAAGTGGAAACAAATGGACGAGAGATCGGAACACAAGGTGGAAAGGTGGGAAGGCAGGAAAGGAAGACAAGGCAAGCGAGGCATGCATGGGGGAAGACCAGGAAAGGAAAGGAAGAAGGGGAACAGAGGGGAACGACATGAAATGGAGGGGAATGGAGTGGGCACTCACCTCGTGATGGGAGTCTAGGTTTAATTCTGGAGAAGGCAAACGGAAAAGGGCAAGAAGCTTACCCTCTTCCCCTCTATCCCTCCCCATCTCTCCCTCCCCTCCTGTCCATCTCCCTTTGTCCATCACCCTCTGTCCTTCCTCCCCTCTGCCCCTCCCCCTCTGTCCCTCCGCTTCTGTCCCTTCCCCCCTCTGTCCCTCCCCCCATCTGTCCCTCCACTCCTGTCTCTCCCCCTCTGTCCCATCCACTCGGAAAGAATGAGTCAGAAAGGACGGGTTGGAGAGAGAGAGAGAGAGAGAGAGAGAGAGACTGAGGTGCATTGCTTCTTATAACCTTGTGCATGTCTGTACCTTGCTCGGATCTAATACACGGACCGCTTGAGAGAGAGAGAGAGAGAGAGAGAGAGAGAGAGAGAGAGAGAGAGAGAGAGAGAGAGAGATAGAGAGAGAGAGAGAGAGAGAGAGAGAGAGAGAGAGAAAACGTGGGAAGGAGAGCGAGTGAGAGGAGTAAGCGAGTAGGAGAAAGGGAGAGAAGAGAAGAACGCGAGAGATGGGTAGAGGGTAGATGGAGGGTGGAAGGAGGGATATATTTGGGTTGCACGGCGGGCGGTCTGTGGGGGGGAATGAGAGCAGTTTGTGGGGTCGAAGGTGGGTGATGCGTGTGGAAGATGGAGGTGGGTATGTGGGGAGGCGGACAAGTTGGGGGAATGCTGGTGGTGTGTGGGGGAGAAAGGCGGCGTAGAAGAACGGGGAAATGCTGGTGGTGTGTGGGGGAGAAAGGCGGCGTAGAAGAACGGGGAAATGCTGGTGGTGTGTGGGGGAGAAAGGCGGCGTAGAAGAACGGGGAAATGCTGGTGGTGTGTGGGGGAGAAAGGCGGCGGACACGTTGGGGGAATGCTGTGGGCGTTGCTGAGGGTGATGTTGCTACAGTTGGCCTGCACGTCCTGGGATAGGCAGCAACGAGAGGCACAGAGACAACAGGTCACACGACATCAAAGCAGCTAAACACGACCCATATTGAATTGAGGTACATCATGCATCAAGGTGCACACCACTTGCCTACCCATCTTGCATCCACGCCACAGAGTGCTGTGCGGAGCCTTTTGAGACGTCTCAACCAGCAGAACCTACCCATCCGTACCTGCTGTGGTGAGAAGTAGGCAGCATCCTGGTTGGCATCGTCAGCATCACCAGATGCTTAAAGCGACTGCTGAGCTGCCCCCTTGTTGCGCGTCCGTCCCCCCTCTTACCTGCGAATGTACATGGGGAGGGAGAGGAGAGGTACATGGGTAGGGAGAGGAAAGATGGTGAGATCGAGGTAGAGGGGTGGCATATGGGGAAAGCAAAGGCTCACTTGGTGCGTGACGCGCACCTCTATGAGGGTGGGGGTATGCAGGGCGAAGGTGGGGGGAAGCAGGGCAAGGGGAGGGGGGAAGCAGGGCGAAGAGAGGGGGGAAGCCTGGCGGAGGGAGGGGGGAAGCAGGGCGAAGGGAGGGGGGAAGCCTGGCGGAGGGAGGGGGGAGGCAGGGCATAGGGAGGGGGAAGCAGGGCAGAGGGAGGGGGGAAGCAGGGCAGAGGGAGGGGGGAAGCAGGGCGAAGGGAGGGGGGAAGCAGGGCAGAGGGAGGGGGGAAGCCTGGCGGAGGGAGGGGGGAAGCAGGGCGAAGGGAGGGGGGAAGCTTGGCAGAGGGAGGGGGGAAGCAGGGCATAGGGAGGGGGGAAGCAGGGCGGTGGGAGGGGGAAAGTAGGGAGGAGGGAGGGGGGAAGCAGGGAGGAAGGAGGGGGAAGCAGGGAGGAGGGAGGGGAGAAGCAAGGAGGAGGGAGGGGGGAAGCAGGGCGGAGGGAGGGGGGAAGCAGGGTGGAGAGAGGGGGGAAGCAGGGAGGAGGGAGGGGGGAAGCAGGTGAGGCAAAGGATAAGGGATTGCGGGGTAAACAGAGCTGGTGGGAGAAAGGGAGGTCGGTCAAATAAAGAGGGGTGTAAACACTCCGGGAAAATTGAGGTCGATGGGGAGAGGGAGTGAGGGAAGAACCCGCTCTCACCCTTTGTCTCCCACTCTCTGCCCTCCCCCCTCTGTTCCTCCCCCTCCATCCTCCCCCTTCTATCTTTCCCCCTCGACCCTTCACGAGGGGAAGCGCGCGAGACCAGGGAGGATAGCGCGTATCGAGGGGAAACGCGCGTGACGAGGGGAGGAGAGCGCGCAACGAGGGGAAGCGCGCGTGACGGGAAGGCGCGGGCGCGAGTGGCGGAAATGTGCGCGACGAAGCGATACGCGCGAGACGAGGGGAAACGCGCGAGACGAAGGGGAAACGCGCGTGACGAGGAGAAACGCACGTGACGAGGGGTAACGCGCGTGCCGAAGGGAAACGCGCGTGACGAAGTGAAACGCACGTGACGAAGGGAAACGCGGGTGACGAAAGGAAACGCGGGTGACGAATGGAAACGCATGACGAGGGGAGGCATTCTATCCCGGGCAGGCGCTAGTGACGAGGGCGGGCGCTAGTGACGAGGGCGGGCGCTAGTGACGAGGAGGAGCACGACTGGCGAAGGGGAGCGCGGGTGACGACTCGAGGTAGAATGGTGTCGCACTCGTTTGGCTCATACGTTCCGTGTGAGTGTGGCGACAACGTCTGTAAGAATCTACAGCGATTCTAGGCTTGTGCTGCCTAGCTATTGACGAGACAGCATGAGTGACGAGAGTTGCCGTAAAAATCGCGGTCACGTGGTACTAGCCGATGACGCACTCGCTTTCTACTTACGTGAGAGCCTAGGCCGGTCATGAGTACTACTAGGCGATCAAGATATGTGTGAGCCAAACAGCGGGCCAACCTGAGCGACGCTCGGTTCTGTTTTGCGATCGTGCACATCAGCCAATTAGGAGAGAGTGTCGCTTGGCGTTGTCACAGAGTCGCGAGAGTTCTGAGCAATAAAGTAGGGTAACCCTGTTTTTGACGATTTCAGATTCAAGAATCTTGAACTTGAAAATAACCATGCTGTACCCGGGCTTTAATCAGGTTACTATAGCGGGTTAGGCGTTTGTAGTGTATTTGATGTGTCAGCTAGTTGGGTAGCGTTGGGTGGCGTAGAGCCAGATGCCTTTGTTCTGTACTGCGCTGGCAGATTTTTTCTGCGCTGTCAGGCGTTTCCCCGATGCCCCTGTTCTGTGCTGGTACAGTATCCGTCTCTGCCGCAACTGTCAACTCGAATTCTGCGCTGCCTTTTCTTGATTCTTGTTCTTGGTTCCTCTCGACAAGCACTAGCTCTGCTCTTCCTCCTTTTCCACCCCCCCACCCCAATTTCTCCAGTTTTTCTCCCACCCAGCCGTCGCTCTCGCTCCTATCCCGCCGTATCCTCTCCCTCACTACCCGCCGTCACCTCTCCAACCCACCTCACTATCACTCCGTCCCACCCCGCCATCTCCTCTCCCTTACCGTAACTCCCCGCCGTCGCCTCTCACTCCTCCCCGCCGTCGCCTTTCCCTCCTCCCCGCCGTCGCCTCTCCCTCCTCCCCGCCATCTCCTCTCCCTTACCTCCCCGCCGTCGCCTCTCACTCCTCCCCGCCGTCGCCTCTCACTCCTCCCCGCCGAGTCGCCTTTCCCTCGTCCCCGCCGTCGCCTCTCCCTCCTCCCCGCCTTCGCCTCTCCCTCCTCCTCGCCGTCGCCTCTCCCTCCTCCCCGCGGTCGCCTCTCCCCACTCCCCGCCGTCGCCTCTCCTTCCCTCTCCGCCGTCGCCTCCGACGACAGGTGCACGAGCGCAAGCGCGAATTGGTGCGCGAGGGAAGGTCGTGCGCGAGCGCGACTTGTTTTCTCAGGCACCGTGGTTATCAGGTGCGTTCCCGGTCCTTCCGTCCTCCCTCCCCCCCTCTGAAATTTTCGTTATTATTATTATTATTATTATTATTATTCTTATTATTATTATTATTATTTAATTCCTTTTCTGTGTGTCGATTGGTCTCCTCTTGCATTGTACTTTCATTTAAAGAAGAAAGAGATGGAGCGCGAGGGAGAGCGTGTGCGCATGAGAGAGCGTGTGAGAGAGCGCGTGAAGGAGCGCGTGAGAGGGCGCGTGAGAGAGCGCGTGAGAGCGCGTGAGAGAGCGGATAAGAGAGCACATGTGAGCGTGTGAGAGCGTGCGAGAGCGTGAGAGAGAGAGAATGCGTGTGATAGTGCGTGAGAGAGAGCGCGTGAGAGAGAGAATGCGTGTGATAGTGCGCAAAAGAGAGCGCGAGAGAGAGAGAGTGCGTGAGAGTGTGCGTGAGGGAGCGCATGAGAAGGCGCGTGATAGAGCGCGTGAGAGAGCGTGGGAGATTGTGAGAGAGCGCGTGATAGAGCGTGTGAGAGTGCGCGTGAGAGAGTGCGTGCGAGAGCGCGTGAGGGAGCGTGTGAGGGTGCGCGTGAGAGAGCGTGCGAGAGAGAGAATGTGTGTGAGAGTGCGCGAGAGAAAGCACGTGAGAGAGAAAATGCGCATGAGAGTGCGGGAGAGAGAGCGCGAGAGAGAGCGCGTGAGAGTGCGCGTGAGAGTGCAGGAGAGAGCGCGAGAGAGAGCGCGTGAGAGTGTGCCTGAGAGTGCACCTTGAGAGAGCGTGTGAGGGAGTGCGTGAGGGATCGCATGAGAGGGCGCGTGATAGAGCGCATGAGAGAGCGCGTGAGAGAGCGTAAGAGAGCGCGTGAGAGAGCGGGTGAGAGTGCGCGTGAGAGAGCGCGTGTGAGAGTGCGTGAGAGAGTGCGTGTGAGAGCGCGTGAGAGAGCGTGTGAGGGAGCGTGTCAGGGTGCGCGTGAGAGATCGTGTGAGAGAGAGAATGTGCGTTAGAGTGCGGGAGAGAGAGCGCGAGAGAGAGCGTGTGAAGTGCGCCTGAGAGTGCACCTTGATAGAGCGCGTCAGAAAGCGCGTGAGAGTGCGCGTGAGAGAGCGCGTGTGAGAGCGCGTGAGAGAGCGTGTGAGGTAGCGTGACAGGGTGCGCGTGAGAGAGCTTGTGAGAGAGAGAATGTGCGTGAAAGAGCGCGTGAGAGTGCGCGTGAGAGAGCGTGTGTGAGAGCGTGTGAGAAAGCGTGTGAGGGAGCGTGTGAGTGTGCGCGTGAGAGAGCGTGTGAGAGAGGGAATGTGCATGAGAGTGCGCGAGAGAAAGCATGTGAGAGAGAGAATGTGCATGAGAGTGCGGGAGAGAGAGCGCAAGAGAGCGCGCGGGAGAGTGCGCCTGAGAGTGCACCTTGATAGAGCGCGTGAGAGAGCGCGTGATTGAGCGCGTGAGAGTGCCCGTGAGAGAGCGCATGAGAGAGCGCGAGAGAGCGCGTGAGGGTGCGCGTGAGAGAGCGCGTGAGAGTGCGAGTGAGAGTGCGCATGAGCATGCTGGGGCGTAGGCACTAGTATAATTTTAGCTGGTGCTTGGGCGACTGGGGCTACTTATGCAAATAAGTGTCGCTTTCTGCACTAGCGCTTAGAGTGCCGGTTTCTAAGGTGTTGGCACCTCAGACGCTCGTCTAGGCCGCTGGCAATTAGCGAGCTAGTGCCTAGCACGCTCGCGTAGGGGGCTCTAACACTTGGGCGCTGGCACCTAGTGTGCGGAGCCCTGTGGTGCTTGTGCCTGAAGCGCTAGCGTGATGGTCTTTGGCGCCTAGCCACGGGTTGCTTGCTGCTTAAGGCGGGCGGGTGCGTTGCCGCGCGCTGGCTTCTTTCTGAAGCCCGCAGCGCACTCGCGCACTGCAGTGAGGGATGATGATTTGTAATTCTTGCTTGGCCTCCTGTATGAGCACGTGTATTGCAGTATTTAGTTTTTGCTTTCTTGTACACATTATGTAAACATACACTGTTTTTTGTGCAAGGTGTGTTGTTCCTTTCTCTGTTCTTGCCTTCTTGTGCAGGGCGTGTGTGTGTTGACTTCTCTTATTTTGCTTTGTGCAGGGCGTGCGTGTGTTGACTTCTCTTATTTTGCTTTGTGCAGGGCGTGTGTGTGTTGACTTCTCTAATTTTGCTTTGTGCAGGGCGTGTGTGTGTTGACTTCTCTGATTTTGCTTTGTGCAGGCGCATTAGCTGAGAAGGGAGATGAGGGAGGGAGTGGGATGGAGATGAGGGAAGGAGGGAGGGAGGGTTGTAGGGAGGGGAGGGTGGGATCAGGGCTCTTGCTAACTATTTGGGGCGTCTGATGAAAAAGTATTTTTTTTTTTTAGTCTGACCATCATATGAGGGATCCTGGGTGATCTGATTTTCATATGAAATATTTAAGGCCGTTTTTAAATGCAAATGAAAAGTATAAACGTGCATACATATTTATGTGGATAACGTAGTTGGTTTGATTCGAATACGGAGTCCAGCGGGTGTGGGATCGATTCTTGTGAGAGGATTGGCGAGCTTCTTAGTTTTCCCTTGGATTATCAGACAGAAGTATCCTCGCTGTCTGGAAACTCGTACGAAATATAACCTGTGTTCTGAAAAAACATGAGTATAAACGCCTTGTCTGGGCTCTCATATGAGACTTGTCTTCTTGTCTGCGAGAACCAGGGCCGACGTTTCAAAAAAACCCACTCTGAGGCAGGGGAGAAAAAGATTTCGTTTAGTCTGAGGGTCATTTCCCAAGTTCTGAGTACTCTGAAATGTCAGGTTTGAAAAAATCATTAGTCTGAAAAGTTTTAAGTTTGTAAAACCGCATCCGAGTTGGTGAATAGCGAATATCTGTCAAGCGAGTTTGGCCTAGGGAAAACGTTGCGGAGTTGGCGAGAAGCAGGAGTAAGAGGGGGCAGGGGAAGGGGGAGGGGGGAGGGGGGCAGGGGGGGAATTGAATGTAATTCGAGAGAGGGGGAGGGGGGAGGACTGAAATTCGGCAAATTCAGGGGCCATACTCCCTGTAGTCTCGAGTCTCAGTATCGCACAATGAAGTACTCTGAAATTTTCAGAGTTGAAAAACTAACAGGTCTGAGGCCTTCAGAGTTCAGAATACAGGAATACTGAAATTTCACGAAAGGCGAAAAAAAGAGTCTAAGATTTCAGACAATCAAACTAAAATAGTCTGATAAAATCAGCCCTGGCGAGAACATATGAACAACAAAAAATGTGACTGAAATCTAGACCAACAGACTAAATTAGTCTGATAACGAGAGCCCTGGGTGGGATAGGCTAGCAATCATTTCTGCATTTCTGAATTATAATCATGACGGTTGCCTCTTTATTACGGTCTGTGTATCTATCTGTGGTTGTATATGTGTGTGTCAGTGTGTGCTGTGCATGTGCTTATGCGTGTGTACGTGCGCGTGTGAGCCTGTGTGAGATATGTGCGTTTGTCTGTTTGCACCTGTCTGTCTTGAGGCGTGTGCAAAAGTGCCTCTTGTATGCAACTGATGTGTGATGTTAAGTGTGTCGGGTCTGCATTTGAGGTGGGGATCGTTGTTGGGGCAGCGTTGCTCGCCTTAGCATACCGGAACCACCTCTGCTGTTGCACCGATGCATTTTAGCATTCACTAGCAGTTGTTTGTGTTGTTTTTGCACATCTTACGCAATTGAGGTGTGATGTTAAAATGTGTCGGGTCTGAATGTGAGGTGGGGATCGTTGTTGGGGCAGCGCAGCTCGCCTTAGCATACCGGAACCATCTCTGTTGTAGCACCGATGCATTTTAGCATTCACTCTCAGTTGTTTTGTTTTAGCACGTGTTCAATGGATGCATTGCACATGATTTGCGTTCACGTCCAGTAGGTGTTTTTCGTCAATTGTGTTTCGTGATGACCGATTGTTCCATTCGCCGTATTTATCGACGATTACGGAATGAAATGTTACATTTGGTTTCATTTTTTGAAAACGTTAAACGAGGGCTTTAAACGTTGGGAAAATGACAAAAACTGTCAGAATCCCAACCACTAGACCATTGGGATAAAAGGGCTTGTTAAGTAGCGGGTCAAAGCGCCCTTAACCCCCCCAGGACAACGAGCCTGTAACCCTTCCCTAGGATCAATCGGGGATCACCAGTGGACCTCTGACACCCCCCCCCCCCCCCGCACTGGGATGCCCGAAGTGCACACACCGGGATTCGAACCCGAGACCTTCGCTCTGGTACCATGTCAGAATCCCAACAATTAGACCATTGGGATAAAAGGGTTTGTTAAGTAGTGGGTCAGTGCGCCCATAACCCCCCAGGACAACGAGCCTGTAACCCTTCCCTAGGATCAATCGGGGATCACCAGTGGACCTCTGACAAAAACTGCACTGTTCATTCGAGTCGACCGAAAAGTGCTACCAAAATGCATAGGGTTGCATGTGATTTCAGGCAAGGGGAATGAGGTGTGATGCTATACAGTTGGCAGAAGACATCGTTCACTGCAGTTACCGGATCAAAATATAATGGCATACATTGCCTAATGAAGCAGCTTATGCAGCAACTGGGGCAGCATTGAGGGCCTTGAGGGGGTTGGTGATAACCGCATCAATCAAGCCATACTCCTTGGCCTCAGTTGCACTCATGAAGAAATCGCGATCCGTATCCTGGTAGAGCAAGGGCAAGAGAGCATGAGAGAAAAAGCAGGGGCAAAGGAGGAATGGGAACTTTGAGATTTAGGGTACGTTCCTGAGGAGACACTTGTGTCTCAATCCCCTCTTTTCCGAGTCGGGTCTACACATTTTTGCAATCTCGCGTCACAAAAAATGAGTGTATCACGAAACTGTGCGACCAGGCGAAATTTACAGCTGTGCTCATTTGATTGGATTTCAAACTTGACTGAACACCTGCTTCTTCAACTGTCTGGTTCGGGAGCGGAACTTTTTCCCGCGCGAGATTTTTACTGTGGAATGTCCAGGTGCATTGACATTTCGAACCGCGTACAGAGTTGTTGACAATGACGGGTCGATACGCAACTCGTCCGCGACATCAGCGCGTTTCACGCTGACAAATGAAAAATACATTAAAAGTCGCACAAGGGCGACACGCGTTTGTGACATTGTACGTTATAAGCTGGTTTTACGCGTCACAAAAGGATTGAGACACAAGTGTCTCCACAGGAACGTACCCTTATTCAAACATTGGCGTTGAGGCATTAATCAAGATGCCTGAATCACAAATCAACGACAATATGCTATCGTTCGAGGCACCAATCTCAGCTGCACAGTCTTCCAATATGGTCGAATAATTACCGCTCAGTAATCGTTCAGGTTGGTCTCAGCACAGCACAGTATGAGAGCACCTCGAGGTCTCAATGCCCTCACTGCTCACCTTCATGCTCTGACAAGCCCTCACTGCTCACCTTCATGCTCTGACATGCCCTCAACTTCATGCTCAGACATGCCCTCACTGCTCACCTCATCACCTGTACAATCCTCTCACCTGGACGATCTGATCATAGGATTGACCGGTGTGGTACGCCAAGTAACCGTTCAGGTTCGCCTTGTGATGCAGAATCTCGTTAGCCTGAATCTCAATGTCTGTCTGCTGTCCCTGTGCTCCTCCCAGCGGCTGATGGATCATAATACGGCTGTTGGGCAGGCTGTAGCGCTTGCCTGGTAGCACGAGTGTGGTGGGGGGGAAGGTATGACAACAAGGGTATAAGAGAACATAATACGACTGTTGGGCAGGCTGTAGCGCTTGCCTGGGATAATGAGGGAAAGGAGAGGAGAGAGCGAATGGATTTGGGTGGGGGGGATGGGTGGAAAGAATTTGGCCACGTATGCCCATGTGTTCGCACTGACGACAAGTAATTAAAGAGCAACAACGAGAGGCAACGGGTGGAGTGCTAACATACATGCGGCTCCTCAGTCGAAACAGGCCACAGGTGGCAGTTCCAAGGAGGCATAAGAGATCAGCTCAGAATAGACCAACACACCTTTTGTTCCTGCTGACAGGAGGAAGGCTCCCATACTGCACAAGAAGGACGGTACGCAAGGCGCCCAGACAACAAAACACAGAGTGGAAGGGAAAGGGTGAGGAAACAAAACGAGGCAAGGGTACAAGCGGGCAAGCATGCCTCTCTGGAACAACGCTGACCTGGCAGCAAGACCGACAGACGCAGAACTGACACACATGCACCCAACTCACACGCCACTTCCCCTCCCTCCGCTCCTCCCCCCCTCCACCCCCCACAGTGCGCCTTATGCGTGCACCATATTCACAAAAATGCATCCAGATCTTTAAAGGGCATGAGTGGAGGGAGCTGGCAAATATGCCACTCTCTGACACAATGCTGACCTGGCAGCAAGGCCGACACACACGGTGCTGACGTCAGGCCGGATGTGGCGCATGGTGTCAAAGATGGCCATGCCTGGGAGAGGGGGAGAACCGAGGACGGGGGGAGAGGACGGGGGGAGAGGGGAAGATGGGAGGGTTATGGGAAGGAGGCACTGGCATCAGTGGCACATGGTGTCAAAGATTGCCAGGCTCTGAGTGACGAGGATGGGGGATTGGAGGGGGAAAGGGAGCGGGGGGGAGAAGCACGAGGGAGGGGGCTTGGGATGATTGAATGGTGCTGTTTTCACGCCAGATGTGGCGCATAGTGTCAATGGCCATGCCTGGGCGGGGTGTGGAAGGGGGGAAGGGGAAGGGAGAAGGGGGGAAGGGAAGGAAGAAGGGGGGAAGGGAAGGAAGAAGGGGGGAAGGGAGGGGGTAAGGGAAGGGGTGGGAAACGCGGGAGGAACGGCCGGAGGCACGCGTCAGGCCGGATGTGGCGCATGGTGTCTATGGCCATGCCTGAAGGGGGAAGGAGGACGGGGCAGGGAAGGGGTCTCTCAAATTCGTTTCGTCTCCCTCCATTCAGTCATCCCTCGTCCCTCCCTAGTATCGGTCCGGCCCTCGCTCCCACTCTCCCCGCTCGCCCTTCCCCAACCTCCACCCGCCGTTTCCCACTCCCCACCCGCCGCTTCCCACTCCCCACTTCCTCCTCCCCATTCCATTCCCCACTCATCCTATTCCTCGCACTCACCAGCAGTCACGGAGCCACCAGGCGAGTTGACGTACATGATGATGTCCTGTGGTGGGGGGGAGGTTGGTGGGACGGAGGAGGGAATGGGAGGGAGTGGGAGGGAGTGGGAGGGAGTGGGAGGGAGTGGGAGAGAGTGGGAGGAGTTAGGCGAGTTGACGTACATGATGACGTCCTGTGTTGGGGGGCAGGGGAGGGGAGAGAAGAGGGGTGGATGAGGGGGTTGAAATACAGGCGTACATAATAATTTCATGTGTTTAAGGGAGGCGGAGAGACGGCGGGAGAGGGTCGGGGGGACAGATGAGGAGGGGCAGGGGAGGGAGGGAAGTGGGGGGACTGGGGCGGACAGGAGGTTTGCTACGAGAGAGTGGTGGAAAAACAACGTATGAAAACGGACGAGTTGTCCATGCCTCGAGGGAGAATGGAGAGGGGCGGGGACGGTGTGGGGGGAGGGGGGGGAAGTGGAGGAGGGGGAATGAGGACAGAGGGGGCGAGAGGAATTTGAGGCTTTAGGTTTTCAGAGGAGGTAAGAGCTATGAAGTGGATGTATTGGTGGGATCAACGGCTGTGATGCCCTCACCTTGGTGGGATCAACGGCATCGAGGTAAAGCAGCTGCGCCACGATGAGGTTCGCCATGTCATCGTCCACCGCGCCGCCGCACCGGATGATGCGCTGATGAGGGCGGGGAGGGGACAGGGAGTGAAGAAGCGGAGAGTACGTGAGGAGGACAGTAGGCTCAAGGGGAAAGGGGGACATGCGAGCGAGGCGAGAAGGCGGGGGTCACGATGAGGTTCGCCGTGTCGCCGTCCATCGCGCCGCCGCACCGATGATGCTCTGGAAAGAGGCGGGTGGGGGGATTGTGGGTGTGTGTGAGGGAGAGGGGGGGGGGGGGGGAGGGAAGGGGGAGCTGGGGGAAACAGGCGAGTAGCCGGGTTACGGGGGCGGGATTATGTGTGAGAAAGTAATTGGGAGGTATCGATATTGGATTTTGTTGCTATCCATTAACCACCCTGAACGCACGAATTCTCGGGACGGGCTAATCCACGTGCCCGACAGCACCGTACGTACGTACGTACGTTTTGAAAGAGCTGGGAGATGACCGACTGGAAGCGCTCCTGCAGCATGGGGGGCGGCGCTCCCTGCCCCGCCATCACCTCCGGTGCGCCCATGAACAGACTCTGCGGCACTTCCAAGTCATTCCTGGGGTGGTTGGGGGAGGGAGGGAGGGGAAGGCGATGCGCGGTGCGCGGAACGTTAAGTTTTTTTTTTGGGGTAGGGGGTAGGGAAGAAAGAAGGGGATGAGAGGATGAGGGGCAAGCGGAAGACAGGAAAAATCCACAGACTCCGTTTTCCTCGCGGGAACTCACTTGATGGACCAGATATCGCCGCTGTTTGCGGCGGAATTCGGGGTCCAAAGGCGCTCCGAGCGGACGGCGCTGCAGCGCACGACGGCAGCGGATGCGCGGCTGAGGCAGGGGGAGAACACGCGGATGAAGGAAACACATCGGGGAAAATTTAGGAGGCGGGGGGGAAAGGGGAGAAGGGGGAACGGAAGGGAAGGGGAAGGGGACGGGATTGTGGGAGGGCAGGGAGTGGCAAGAGGCGAGATGGGGAGGGAATAAGTGGGGAACGACGGAAAATATAGAAGATTGAAGGGAGGCAGAAGAACGATCGGCAAGCCAGTTGAAAGCAATCTGCAATCGGCAATCGATCGCTGACCGTCGATTCTCGGGTACATAATCTGGTCGCTTAGCAGACAATGCACAGGATCGATCAGCATCGATTGCCTTCCGCGAGCTTAGTTCAAACCCGCAGATACTGAAAGTGTCGAAAACCTTGAAAGTAATCGCCAGATTGGATGTGAGATGTCGAAGGTCTGCTGAATCCCTACTCTATTACGTACTACCCAGGCCGCATAGACGAGACGAATCAGGCTTCTGGCAACGCACAGACTAACCGTGATTGCTACGCATTGCGCATCAAGAATGAATCACGAAGTATGCACTGTAAGCTAGCATATCTAAGCTAGCGGGTCCTGTATACTATACCGGAAACTACTAAAACAACGCCTGCTTACGCTAGCGAGACTCTACAACACCTTATCTAGAAACAACGGAATCTAAGCTTCTCTGAACTAGCACGTTGATCACACGACCTCGTAACACTACATCGGTACTACCTCGTTAGTACTTCGGTAACACTACCTGGGCGCGGCCATCTGTAGTCTCTTGTGCTGGCTCGCCTTCAGACTCAGGCTCGTGCTACCCACGAAGGCTGACGGCTTCACAGCCGCTGCCGTCTGCATCGTAACAGCCGACATGGTCTTTGCCGGTTGATCGGTTATTAGACGACGGCTGATCTTCCGTGCGACGACGAATTCTGGGACGATCACAGCACAGAGAGACTAAGCAACTCCCAGAAGCAATAACTACAGGCTAGGAGGAAAGCTAGCCTCAAGAAAACTATTCTAGGAATTTCGGAGTCCTAGGGTTCCAGGGAGGAAGTTCCAGAAAGTGCAGATAAATCAATATTTTCGTACACCTCCGTACAACAGCAAATGCTGGCCGTTGGATAAATGAATATCCGAATCGACCCTGGAGAACTTCGTGTTCTTGAAGCGGGGCGCATAGAAGTTTGTGTGCGACAATGGCGCAGGAGAATCTAGACGGCGGAGGCGGAAAGGGAAACGTGATAGCTGATTAGGCGACGTGGCGAGTAGAGACTGAACACGCAGCGAATAACGCTACGCCACGCTGGCGCGGATGTGACGGCTGTCGTGTTCAGCTCCACCAGCAAAAGCATGGGTTAGCTGGAGAATATACACTGACGAGATGGATGTTCAACTAAACAGAATACATTTAGATCCATCATTTACAGGTATTGAATTATCTCATCACACTTCATTCCACATCCTTGGAGCTCCTCTTTTCATAAACCCCATCCTTCCCTCTCACCCAGACCTCTCCTCTATGCTCCATCACATCCAAACTCGCGCTCTTTCGCACATAACCTCCCTCCCTACCTCTCAAATAATGTTCACGCAGAGCTTGTTCCTTCCCACTGAGCCAACCACGCCTCCTCGTCGGAGGACCTTCCTCCTGCACGCCCTTCTTTTTCGAAAGTGCAACCCTCTTTGAGCCAGCAATATCCGACCCATGAAAACCTCCTCCACTCCGCTTTTCTTCCGCGACTTTCCCCTCCCAATCTCTCAAATCGCCCCGCTCTCCTCGACGTCCTTTCTCCCTCCACCCATCTTCAACCTCCCAATTTGTCAAGTCACCCTCTCTCACCTCCCTCATCTCTCCTCCCACCTTCCATCGTGCCTCCCTGCCTCTCCTCCCCCTCTCCCATCCATACCCCTCCATTCCCTCCCCAGGTTCAGCCTCCCCTGCATCCCCACCTGCATCCAACCGCCCAGATCTACCTCCCCCAGAAGCCTCCACCTCCCACCGCCCATTTCTCCTGAATACTCGGTCCATACTGGTGTCCATTGCTGAATCCGGCACCTTCCTTCCTGTTGCTGCTATTCCTCCTGCTACAGCCCTCTCTCCTGCTACATCCCTACCTTCCGCTACAGTCCTCTCCCCTGCTTCAACCCTATCTTTTACCACAGCCCTCTCCCCTACTTCAGCCCAGCCTTCAGCTGGTGTCCTTTCTCCTGATACTGCCCTGCTGTCAGCCACAGCCTCCTCTCTTGATACAGCCCTGTTAACTGCCACAGCGCTCTCTCCTGCTTCTCTCAGCTGTGCCGTATCTCTCACTGACAGAAGAGTATAAGCAGCAGGGTTAGCAGGGGCAGCGGAGGCTGCAGGGGCAGCAGGGGGCGCAGAAACAGCAGGAGGAGCACGCGCAGCAGGGGCTGCAGGGGCAGCAGCAGGAGAATGAGCAGCAGGGGCGATTGAGGTGTGTGCCACGCGCTCTCCCTTGTCCCCATTGACAATGACAGCAGGTGGAGGAGGGGCAGCAGCGATAGCAGACGCAGCAGGAGCAGCAGGAGGAGCAGGAGCAGCAGGTGCAATTGAACTGTCTGCCATGCTCCCTCTCTTGTTCCCAGTAAAAGTGGTGGCAGACGGAGGGACAACAGGAGCAGGGGCAGTTGCAGCAGGAAGTGTTGGCGCATGGGCGGCTGTAGTGGGACCAGAGCCAAAAGACTTGTGAGATGTCTCAAAATCTGTAGCAGAGGCAGTTGCAGCAGGAGCCGTTGGAACATGGGCGGCTGTAGTGGGACCAGAGCCAGAAGCAGCAGAAGCAGCAGCAGCAGCGGCTGAGAGAGCAGAGGCGATTCGAGCCAAGGCCACTGCAGCAAAGAGAGCAGTTGCAGCTGCTGCTACCTCTTTCCCTGTAAACACTGCTGCCTCCTTGCTCGATGCTCCTGTTGCTTCCTTCTCTGCTGCCTCTGCTGCCTCCTTGCTCGATGCTGCTTCTGCCTCTGTGGCTTCCTTGCTACCGATTGCAGTATCCACTGTAGCCACGTTACCTGCACCACCAAAACCAGCGGCAGCACCACCAGCAGCAGCTGCAGCATCACCACCATTTGGGACATCCATGAAATCACCCACTGCTTCCCCCATCGCCCCATCTAGAGAAATCTCCCCTTGTCTTTCTCCAGATGCCCCCTTTGAGTTAATTCCAACATGTGCTGCCGTTGCTGCTGATGCTGTTGCTGCAGTAGCTGCTCGTGCAGCTGCTGCTTCTGCTGCGCCTGTTTCTGCTGCTGCTTCTGTCTCTGATTCTGTTGCTGTTGCTAATCCTGCCTCTGCTCCTTCTTCTGCTTCTGCTTCGTCTTCAGCTGCTGCTTTCTGTTGTGTTGCAGCCGCTGCCCTCTCTTGCTTCTCAGCTTCTGAAGCTGTGTCATTGTATTCCCTCCCCGACTCTCTCCCTTCTCCTGATTTCGCATCCTCTTCTCTTCCATCCGAAGTATCTTCCACGCTCCCCTCCTCATTCAACTCTCTCCCCTCATCTAACCGGACTTCCTCCCTTAATCCTTCTCCCTCACCCTCTCCCTTCCTTTCTTCTCTCTTCCCTTCTTCTCCCTTCGCTTCTCCCTCACCCACTCCCCTCCCTACTCCCTCGCCTTCTCCCGTCCCTTCTCCCTCACTTTCTCCCTTCTCGTCCCCCCCGTTGTACATGTGTGCAGGCGCAGACCTCTCTCCCTCGCCCATCCCCTTGTGTGAGCGTTTAGGAACCACCAAATCACTCCAAGAACCAGCAACCGCACTGGATGCCTCAGAACCACTGGGTGGAAGAGCCAGGGCAATGTCAGAACCACTACCTGTCGCTGGCAGCATCAAAGGAGTGCTTGAGAGCATCAAAGGAGTGCTCAAGCCTGCTGAAGAGCTGATATCTGACGTGGTTTCAGCGGCTGAAGAGCCTGCTCCCGTCACTTCAGTTGCATAGCCTGCATCCTCTGCTAAACTTTTGCCTGCAGCATCTCCTGCTGCATTGACAGCAGCAGCAGCAGCACCACCACCGGCACCACCACCAGCAGCCATAGCAGCAGCACTAGGAGCAGAATCACGTGCAGCACCAATTCCACCATTAGCGCCACTAATAGCATCAGCAACACTACCAGCACTCGCAGCATCAGCAGCAGCACTAGCACTATCATCAGCAGCAACAGCAGCACTACCAGCACCAGCAGCAGCACCAGCCACCACTCGTCGAACCGGGCCTTCCTCCTCTCCCTCAGATAAGTTATCATCATACCCCCTTGCCACCCCTCTCTCCTCCCACCCTCCCTCCTCGTCCTCCTCATCCCCACCCAACAACCCCACCCACCTCCTCCTCCGCACCCCTCTCCACCGCTCACCACCCCCTTCACTCCCTTCCAACTCCCCTCTCACGCCCTTCCTCCTGCCCCCTGTAACACCGCTCTCCTCTGTGTCCACAATAACCCCCACCTCTGCTCCCCTAACTGCTCCCCCTCTCTCCCTCCCACCTTCCCCTCTCCGCTCCTGCTCCTGTCCCTTATCCTGCTCCTCCTGATCCTTCTCCTTCTCCTTTCGCTGCTCCTGCCTTTGCTCTCCCTCTTGCTTCTGCTGCAGCAACAGCTTCTCGTCCTTATCCTCCTTCTCTTCTCTTCCATCCCTCCCCTCACTCCCCTCCACCTCATCTCCCTTCCCTGCACTCCCACTCCCAACCATCCAGCTTCCACCCTTCTCAACCACTTCTTTCTCCCTCTTCCAACTCCCATCCCCCATCTCCTCCTCCCACCCATCCGGAACCCTTAAAGCCACCACTCCAGCTGCTGCTGTAAACCCCACAGCCGCCGCTGCCGCCACCACCTTCCCTGCTTTTATCCCAAGCGGGGTGTCCTGCTGCTGAAACCGCTCTATCTGCTGCTGCAACCGCTCTACTTGACCCTGGAACCATTCCATCTGACCCTGAACCGCAGAGAAAAACTGCAGACCTTGGTTCTCAATTCCGCTCAACATCCCATCGTCTCCCCTCCCATCCCCGTCCTCCCCTATCCGATTCTGACCCTCCATACGTGCTTGCACAGTAGCATCCCCTAGTGGCCTCTCCCCTATTTGGCTTGAGCTCACTCCGCCAATTCCTAACCCTTCCTCTGTGCTCTCAATCCCTTCCACTCTCATCTCAACCCCTACCTCCCCCCTCCCATTCCGTGCCCCCATAAGCGCCTGGACAGTGGGGTCCCCCTGAAGCCTCTCCACTGCTGCTGCCGCCCATGCATCCAGAGAAAGCCTTTCCCCTGAACTTTCCCCTGAAATTTCTCCTAAAATTTCTCCTGGTTCTGCTGAACTTTCCCCTGAAGCTTCTCTTGAGCGTTCGCCAGCATTTTCTCCTGAGCTACCACTCTTCTGCTCCTCGGATTGACCTTTGCCCCCATCAACCAGTATGGCTGTAGCAGATTCAGAGACAGCTGCTGCTGGAGCCGCTTCTGCTGGCGCTTCTGCTGCAGGTGGCGCTGCTGCTGCCGCTGCTGCTGCTAATGAGGGTGCTTCTGCTGGTGCTGCTGATGACACTGGTGGTGATGATACTGATGGTAACGACACTGGTGGTACTGGTATTGGTACGGGTACTAGTGCTGGTACTGGTGCTGGTACTGGTGGTGGTGGTGGCAGGGGCAGTGGTTGCCATGCGGGAGGGGGTGGTGGCAGGAACTGTAAGGGTGGCTCGAGAAGAGGAGGAGGAGGAGGAGGAGGAGGAGGAGGAGGAGGAGGAGGAGGAGGAGGAGGAGGAGGAGGAGGAGGAGGAGAAGGAGGAGGAGGAGGAGGAGGAGGAGGGGGAGGGGGTATGTTTGAAACACCAAAGACAGGGTTTCCGGACGAGGGAAGCCCATCTGAATCTGCTGACTCCTGCTGCTTCCCTTGGGGAAACCCTGCTGCTGCTCCCTGCTGTCCCTGCTGCCCGCCCAGCTGCTGCTGCTGCCCGTTTTGCTGCTGCCCGCCCTCCACCCCTGTGTGGCGCGCAGCAGTGAGCAGCTGCTGGAAGAACCCCACCAGTTCACCGTCTGACATCACACGGAACCTGCACACACCGCATGGAACCACCATGTAACATTCAAAAGGGGGGGAGGGGGGGGTGAGAATTATGATTGGATTCGTCTTGGGGCAGTAAGCAGCTGCTTTCCCCACAGGCAGAGACAGAGACACTGGGCGGCACAGGGAGGAGATCCCTACCTTCTTGATGGCACGTACCTCTGCGCCAGCTGCTCCCCCCACGCCACCCCCTTCCCCCACCCCACTGCTCGCCCCCAATTCCCCCCCCACTACAAAGCACATACCTCTGCGCCAGCTGCTCCAGCGCTGCTACGAGCTGCTCCAGTGAAGGAAACGGACGGGTTGAAGGAGGACGTGCGCGCTGGAGCAGCGGTTGCTGTCCTCCACCTGCTCCCTCGCACGTGCTCCTCTTCACCTGCCCACCCCCCACTACATGGCACGTACCTCTGGACCAGCTGCTCCGCTAAAAGCTGCTCCAGCGAAGGAAACCCACCACCTGCCCCCCCCCCACCTGCTCCCTCCCTCCCACGTGGCCCCCCATTCACCCACTTGCCCCCTCCCACGTCCCTTCCCTCCCCCCTGCTCACCCCCACCTGCTCCCCTCCCCCACCCCAATACATGGCACGTACCTCTGCGCCAGCTGCTCGGCTAGAAGCTGCTCCAGTGAAGGAAACACGGGAGCTGCCCCCCCCTTTTCTGGCACAGACAAAGCTGTATAGGCGACCGGAGGTGACCCTGACAGGAAAACCCCACCTCCCTGGTAAGGAAGGAAAGTTGGATAGGCGACAGAAGGAGCAATGCTGGTGGAGGGAGGAACACTGATGGAGGGAGCAATGCTCCCAGACGTGATCGTTGTGTCGGTTAGAGATGGTATGCTGTCATCCTGGCCGTTGAATGCAAGCGACGGTGCTACGATGCTATCCCGGCCGTTGAACGCGAATGTGTATCTCCCGCTGCTGCTGAATGCCATGCTGCGTGTACTCCCCTCCGTGCTACCGAGATACATGGATCTGTCAGTGCCATATGACGTATCATGATTGTCAAACGAGGAGTCATGATTGCCAGTGGCGGTTGTCGCAGCTCCAGCAGCTGTGGCAGCGGTAGCGGCAGCTGTACCAGCGGCTGTAGCAGCAGTAGCAAAAGCAAACGGGTGATGGTCAGAGAGACCAGGAAGAGGACTCAGAACCAGCGAACCGCTCAGCACCGCACTGCACACAGCCTGCAGCACCGACTTGCCAGTACAGGCAAGCCTGGTGTTCAATCCTTCGCGTGCTGTATTTCCCATGTGCGCTCCACCGTCAGGCATTCCCAGCACACCCCGTTCACGTGGCAGGGAATTCTCAGCTGCTCCTCCCTCACGTGCTGCGTTTCCCACATATGCTCCAACTTCAGGCATTCTCACCACACCCCGATCACGTGACAGGTAGAGATCAGCAGCTTCGGCGGGTCTATCTTCTTCTCCGCTTGGTGGCCGCCGTTCCTCTCCCTGTTGCTCCCCTTCCGCTCCTTGTGTTCTCACCCCAGGTGCCCCTTCCGCTCCTTGTGTTCCCGTCCCAGCTTCCCCTTCTGCTCTAGGTGTTACCCCCCCTTCCGCTCTCTGTATCTCCACCCCAGCTTCCCCTGGGCCTCCTTCCGCGGATCCATGCGCGGCGCAACAACGGCTACCAGCGCGGGACGGGGGCGCGGAAGCTGGCACGGGGAAGGAGAACGACCGGCAGCGGCGGAGAGCGGCGATCTTGTCGGACGGATGCGGGGAACGCGCGGGTAAGCGCGGATGAGGGGCGGGATTGTGCGGAACGGATGCAGGGGTGCGCGGGAAGGGGGAGGAAGTGGCGGAGGAGGGAGGTGGTGCCAGCGCTACTGCCGACGCTGAAAGATGGACGGCCATGATGACACGCTTGATTCCGCATTCACACCTGTCGTTGCCTTGAACTTCCCTGAGGTGATCGACCTCGACCGATCGAACTTGAACAAACTACGAGCCTACACTACAGCCCTCCAACATTAGCAGAAGTTCGACGTTTCTTTGATCAATCTTCCAGTAAGGTACCTTGTTGATCATTTCTACCGCATCTTCAAAGGCTGGGTGGGGTAGAGAAATGCGAGCACTGCACGCTGCTGGGTGGCTACGGAACAGAGGAATGTCGCTTGCATAGGAGTTGCCGCCTAGAAGCTACCATAAGAATACGCGACACCAATTCCTGCGATACAAAACCCGGATGATGTGATACTTCATATACGGTATGAGGGCCAGGTTGTATGCTTCTTAGAATCCACCAAATGTAAGAATATAGATGCATTCTGTGATATACGAGGGCCAGATTGATTTTTTCTTGGAATCCACCGAATGTTATTAAATAGATGCATGCAACGTATATCATACCGTTTTTGCTTTTAGAGATATTTTTTATAGCTTCTAGCACAAAGCCTAGACATTATGGGGAAAGAAATTCATTATGTATATGTCATTATGAATAAGTTACAATGGTTTTAAGTTTTATAAATGTTCAATTCGGCTGATTTACGCCACATCCTTCATTCAGGAACTAATTTGGGAAACTAGTGAATTCTGGTTGCGGTTTTACCTCACAGTGCGGTATTTGCATCCGCTAATACCGCACGATACTGCAGTGGCTTACCACCGGTGATTCCGAAACCACCCAATATCGCGCATCGTCTCGCCGATTTCGTCACTCTTCGTGAGGGCTTAGCCTTCGCCAGGCCTTTCTTTCATCGCCCCCTCCCTCCCTGTGCTCTCCTCTCCTCCTGTTTGGCGAATAACTCGCCTTACCTCCCCTTACTTCCCTCTCTTTAGTCGCAGACCCTAAGGACCTGCGCGCTCGGCGTCACACACTCTGCATCACCCCGTCTTAGTCGCAGGGTCTCACATACCCTCTCGCAGGTTAGAATGCGCTTCCAGACCCTGTTGGTCGTCTGTACTATATTATGCTTTATTGATTAATGTAGAATCCAGGCTCATAGTTCCTCTGCGTCTCGCGGTTCGCAGTCTCCTGTCATCCCGTTGTCATCGCGTCTCGTGTGGTGTTCGGTCCCCGTCTCACGTCGTGCCACGTGTCGTGTGTCCATTCGTGCAGCCATGTTTACAGCGCGCAGAAAGATTCAGAAGGAGAAGGGTCAGGAGCCCGATGAGTTCGAGGAAACCGTCGCTCAGGTGCGTCGCATCGTGTCACTCACCGTTCGATGGCGTCACAATCTGCACAGGCCGTTCGATCGCGTTGCAGACCTGCTGTGTTCCCTGATAGGCTCATACGGGTCACGGTCCTGCGGGATAATTTGTTTGGATTATGGAGTCCTGGTGGAGCGCTCCTCAGACCATTGTCCTGGAGATTAACGGTCGTTACGGAGGTCAGGCCTCAGAGCGTACAGTTCACTGTTGATAACGCAGAAAGAGTTGTTGGGTTCGTTCTGACGGCCGTCAGTGGAGCAGACCGCATTCAGTTCCGTCGGCCTTAGAGGAGGAAGCCGTGACGATCCAGTCGCACTCATTGGCGAAGCAGGCCGTTTATAGTGCGTGTCTTCAATCTCGCCAAAGCTTCCTGCGCGGCGACATCCACCGTCTCTGGAGTGCGTTTGACCGTAGACTCGACTAAGGAGCTGAGTTAGGGACCAGCCGAGCCATCGTTAGGGCTCTAACACGTAGGGACCAGTCGCAACTTAAAGGACTTGTTAACGAACAGGTATCAGATATCACGGTTAGCCGATCAGTGTGCTGAAGCAGTTGATACGTTGGTGAGACGGTCGAAAGGAATGGCTGGCGAGCGAACAGTGGTCGGGTGGATCGAATTACCGTGCAAGGCCTTTTGGGGCAGGGTTGGGGTTTCGAGGATTCAAAATCCAACTTGACTTTCTCTGTCGATTGAATTATCGGAATGTCGGTCCAGCCTGCTGTCTGGCGGCGCCCTGGTAACGATATTCAGCCTCGGTTAGAATTAGCGCGCTAGTTTCCAGGCGCTGGAGCTTGCTCTGTATGCTTAGTACACACGTCAATCCCTAGGTTGTAGTTACCGGGGAAAGACCCGGTCCTCGTGTGTTGGCGTGGTTTTGAGGATCAAAAGAAATCAGCCAGGTTGTATTCACCGTGCGCTAATCGGGTTCTCGTATGATTGGACTGCAGGCCCTCTTCGATTTGGAGGCGACGAATCAGGAGCTGAAGAGCGACCTGCGCGATCTCTTCATCAACAGCGCCAAGTACGCTTCGTTTGTTGTTTTCCTTCGATTCCCCCCTTGCCCCGCTTTCCCCTGTTTACGCATGTTTACTTTATTCACGTTCTCGTTCAGTCTAGGGGCCTATTTCCCTCTCCCCCCCGCTCCCCAACACCTCCTCCCCCTCCCCTCCGTGCCCCGCCCCCCGCTTTTTTTCTCAAACCGTTAACGGATGTACTGTATATGAATGCTCCTTTATCCCGGTTTTCGCTTGCAAGGCGTGATCGTGCACGTGCCTTTCCGCCTGCGACAGGCTCACCCGCCTCCACTCCCCATCCCCCTATCCCCATTCCCCATCCGTGCCATTTCCGCAGGGAGATCGACGTGTCGAGCAGCCGCAAGGCCGTGATCGTGCACGTGCCGTACCGCCTGCGCAAGGCGTTCCAGAAGATCCACGCGCGCCTCGTGCGGGAGCTCGAGAAAAAGTTCAGCGGCAAGGTGCGGTGGAGAGGGGCAAGGTGCGGTTGAGAGGAGTGGTGAGCGGTGAGGTGCGGTCGAGAGGGCGAGGTGCGGTTGAGTGGGGTGAGATTGGGTGGGGGTCAGTACCACCTGCGGAAGGCGTTCCAGAAGATCCACGCGCGCCTCGTGCGGGAGCTCGAGAAGAAGTTCAGCGGCAAGGTCCGGTGGATAGTGGGCGAAACCTGGTGGGGTGTGGTGGAGAGGGGCGAGGTGGGGTGAGAGGTCAGTGGAAGAATGTGAGCGGCAGGGTGCCTCGTGCGGGAGCTCGTGAAGAAGTTCAGCGGCAAGGTGCGATGGGAGGGCGGCATGCGGTTGAGAGGGGCGAGGTACGGTCAAGAGGGGTCTAGGGAGAAGAATGTTAGCGAGTGGAAGAGGGCGAGGTAGAATGAGGTAAGGGGTGCGTTGTGATGGGCGGCGTGCATGCTGGAGGAGGCGAGACGGACATGGACGCAAGAGGAACATGGGTGGGAAGGTTTAGGTGGCTGGTGGGGAACGAAATGGAATGGAGTGGTTATTGTGGGTATGGATTATTCTCAACGTTCCGTCCCCTTGGTCTTCCCCTTCTCCTGGAAGGACTAGGTCCTGCATTTTCCCTAGGAGGAATCGGCGGTAGAGGCAGGGGAGAGCAGGAGAGATGGGAGGAAACGGTAGAGTGGAGAGGCTTGGGTGTGAGCAGGAAGAGGCTTGGTAGGAGCAGGGAGGTTCGGGTGGGAAGAGGAGTCGGTTTTGTGTGTGGGAAAGGATTGGGAGGCGCGTTTTTGGGAAGTCAATGCGAGATGAGTGGACATTTTGCAGCGTCCCCAAGCGGCGCAAGGGCTCCAAGTCGGTGCGTCCGCGTACGCGCACGCTGACAGCAGTGCACTCAGACGCTCTCTATGCCCCATCTGGCCCCATCCTTCACCCCCGCTTCCCCCTCCCACAGGATGTAGTGTTGGTTGCCACCCGTCGCATCCTCCCCAAGCCCCGCAAGGGCTCCAAGGTGGTGCGGCCGCGCACGCGCACGCTGACGGCGGTGCACGAGGCGATCCTGGAGGACCTCGTCTTCCCCACGGAGATCGTCGGCAAGCGCGTTCGCTTCCGGTTGGACGGCTCGCGCATCATGAAGGTGAGAGGCTGTGCCTGCAGTATGCATGTAGCAATTTCTGAGGCGTTTCAATGCGTGTGAGCTTTTGGGTCGATGGCTCCTGCATCATGGGGTGACAGCGTGATGAAGGTGAGAGTTTCTGTGAGAAGTGAAGGTATATCTCGCTCTGAGATGTCTCGATGCGCGTGCGCCTCTGGTTGGACGGCTCGCGCATCATGAAGGTGCGGTGTTGGTGTGGTGATACATGTATGAGCAAAACTAGGCATCAAAGTAGTTTTAGCACTAGGCGATCGGGCTGACAGCACAGCACAGCACAGCACGGCACGGCACTACACGTGGAGACATCCCCTGTGATGATTGTCATTAACTCCCACTGCCTGTCAGTCACATGCATCAGTACCTCTTTCCCCACACACAGGTGTACCTGGACCCCAAGGAGCGCAACAGCACCGAGTACAAGGTGGAAGTGTCATTTATTGTGACTCTGTATTCTGATTCTTCCTGCATCCACTATATTATTTGATACAGGTGTACCTGGACCCCAAGGAGCGCAACAGCACCGAGTACAAGGTGGAAGTGTCATTTATTGTGACTCTGTATTCTGATTCTTCCTGCATCCACTATATTATTTGATACAGGTGTACCTGGACCCCAAGGAGCGCAACAGCACCGAGTACAAGGTGGAAGTGTCATTTATTGTGACTCTGTATTCTGATTCTTCCTGCATCCACTATATTATTTGATACAGGTGTACCTGGACCCCAAGGAGCGCAACAGCACCGAGTACAAGGTGGAAGTGTCATTTATTGTGACTCTGTATTCTGATTCTTCCTGCATCCACTATATTATTTGATACAGGTGTACCTGGACCCCAAGGAGCGCAACAGCACCGAGTACAAGGTGGAAGTGTCATTTATTGTGACTCTGTATTCTGATTCTTCCTGCATCCACTATATTATTTGATACAGGTGTACCTGGACCCCAAGGAGCGCAACAGCACCGAGTACAAGGTGGAAGTGTCATTTATTGTGACTCTGTATTCTGATTCTTCCTGCATCCTCTATATTATTTGATACAGGTGTACCTGGACCCCAAGGAGCGCAACAGCACCGAGTACAAGGTGGAAGTGTCATTTATTGTGACTCTGTATTCTGATTCTTCCTGCATCCACTATATTATTTGATACAGGTGTACCTGGACCCCAAGGAGCGCAACAGCACCGAGTACAAGGTGGAGACTTTTTCTGCTGCTTACAAGAAGCTCACCGGCAAGGATGTCGTCTTCGAGTTCCCCATCACCGAGGCTGCTGCCTAAGTGCCGTCTAAGTTCTGCCCAAGTTCTTTCATGTGCCCATGGCTGCTGCCTAAGTGACACCAAAGCGCCAGCTCACTCTTCACTTACCTCCCAGCGGTGGCAAGCAGCAGGAATCCAAAAGTGTGCGTTTTTAGGGAGAGTGCGTGTTCAATGCTGCTGCTGTCATTTGGAAGTATGTAATGCTGTTGATTGGCTCAATATTTCAAAAGCTCTGATGAATTTGCGGTACTTGTAGTGTACATTTCTCTCGGAGATATCCCATAATGATCTGCTGTTGGACATTAGGACGGGTCATACCTATCACAGGTCAGGTCAATTGTGGCCGATGTAACCCTTTTTTGCAGGGTAACCGCATCAAAAGTTGAACCGAATGTGTAAGGAATTTTCCGGATTCCTTACTGGGTCACACTGTACGCGTACAACCTCGCTTTTCGGAAAACCAGGCTCGGTCCGTCGACCTCGCCTTCCGAGCCACCATCGCGTCGCTTTCGGGTTTTCCAACCCCGAACCTGCACCCAACCATTTCGCGACCAGGGCCTCAGATGTCAGGAATTTTACCCTGAATTCCTGAAGTTTGACCCCCGTTTTTTATCATGACCCTGATGCATCAGCCTTTTTTTTTCAACGACCCTGATGTTTCAGTGTTTTTAAATTTCGAACTCTGATTTTCCAGTGTTTTGTGTTTGAGGACACTGACGAGTCAGTGTTGTATCGGGGTCTACCCTGAAACCGAAAACTCCTTGTTTTGGCGCGCCGTCACTGTGCACCGTGCACCAAGGGGATTACTGGCGAAACATGCTCTGACAGGGCGAATCTTTTGTGTGAGGGGCGAATCTGCTGCTGTGTCAGGGCAAATCTGCTGTGATTGGGCGAATTTGCTGTGCTGCGACAGCGCGTAACGACTGTGCGAGGTCGAATTTGCCGTCAGGGCGAATCTGCTGTGACGAACCAAGTCCGAATCATCAGTCAAGTACACAACCAGAGATCAGAAACAATTCTTAACAATTGTCCTATTCGATTGGTCAGACAAGATTTCTGACCAATCAGACACGGAAATAGCAGAATCCTGGCCGAATTTGGGAATTGTAAAGTGAGGGCAGTCTGATTCGCTGTGTTATGACAGCATACCAGTAAAGCAACTATGCTGATCAGTGTTGAAGTTGTAGAAACCCTGATTGATCAGCGTTTTATTTCTAACAACCCTGTAAATTCAGTGTTTCACACTAGACGACACTGAAAATCAGTGTTACCCTCCTAGGGACACTGAGTGCTCAGGGTACACAAAAACCAATCTGAGGCCCTGCTCGCGACCCCGCGACCTTGGCCTAGCTAGCTTCGCTATATTAGTCCTAGGCCTCGTTGTGTTCTCAGACGTTGTAATCACTTCCGCATTATTGAGTTCTGCGCACTCTTTTCTTTACAACTCATAACACTTGGTATCAGAGCCTAAAGTCCTTGGTTACCCTCGCGTTTCCGGGGTAGTTTGTAGAAGGGGAGCGATAGACTTGGTGGGCTGTTAAGCGGTCGGCCCGTGGAATAGATCTGATTATTCCACTCCGACTACGATAGCATTAACGCCTTCACCGAAGTCAGAAAAATCGCGAGCCACCCCCTGCCTGTTCGACGAAGCCTGAGGCACATGGAGCAGGCCGAGTTTAACGAGTTCATGCAACAGTTCCGTGCGATGCAGGCCAACTTGCAGGGTATGACTGCAGAGATGGAGCGTCTACGGAAGGAAAACGCCGAACTACACCAGGCGCGTGGTGAAGCGCGCCAGGAGTCGCCTGTCGTGGACGACGCAAGTAGCAGCACTACACCAGATGAGCGGGTCTGGAGCGAGCTGGAAGGCGAGATGGATGCGGACGAAGCGAGGCAGGCGCAGCAGGAACAGTCACCACAACAGTCGCGTGCAGTACCACCACGTGCAGCAGCGACGACGACGGCGACGCCAGCAGCAATGCCAACGGCCCCGATGGCAGCAACGGCTTTCGTGAAAATCAAGTCGACAAACCCGCCCCCGTTTAACCCGAGTGACAAGTTTGTCACTGTTTCTGCATGGTTGTTCGGTGTGGATGTGTTCTTTAATGCTGCTATGATTTATGACGATGTCACCCGCATTAATTTCGCAGTTTCACTGTTGCGAGGACCTGCGCTGGAGTGGTGGAGGCGAACGCTGCAGCACGAAGGGACTTCGGCAGGAATAGCACGTGCGAACGACGGGACTTCAACACCTGTCACGCATCAGGCAGCATCGATTTTTGGGACGGCCACGATACGCACATGGAAGGAGTGGGGCGCCGCCTTGCGAACCAGATTCGAGCACATATCCGCCTCGGACTCTGCTCGCATGCAGCTGCGTACCTGGAAGCAGCTGACTTCAGTCCAAGACTACACCAGCAAATTCTGCAACTTGGCGGACCAGGTGGACGACATGAGCGATGCGGAGCGGTTGGATCGCTACGTGGCGGGCCTGAAATACGAAATACAGTACGAGGTCCGACGAACCCGGCCACGCAGCTTCAACGACGCCGTCCGGGAAGCCGAGCCAACGGATGCACTGATGCAGTGGGCGAGATCGAGCTCCCGGGAGGGCCCTCGATTTCGTGGACAGACTCAGCAGCCCACGATCAACGGCGTGGATGCACCTAGCCGAGCCCTTGGGCCGTGCTTTTTATGCAACCAGCTGGGCCACCTGAAAAAAGACTGCCCGAGGCTTAAGCAGGGGAAGAAGAACGACAGAGAAGGGTCGGGAAAAGATACGAGTCAGTAGCAGAAGGGCCACCTACTGACGAGACCCTGTCGCCCGACAATCACCATCCACACTGGGTCGTGGTATTGATCAGAGCTATCGACCAGAACTGGACGAATAACGTGGGTGAACACGTGGACTACCTTGTGCTGGAGGTGGGGAGGGTTAACGGTTATATAATAAAAATCTTCGTTGACGGTGGGGCGAGCCACAGTCTCGTCAACCTGGGAACGGCCAAAAAAATTGGGGTGAATCTGACCAGGTGTCTGCCGGAGATTGATGCTAGGTTGGTGGACGGGACACCGCTGGCCATCCGAGATGAGGCGCGAAAAATTCGGATACAGTGCGGCGACAAATTCGGGTTTGGCATGAGGATGTTGGCGACGACGTTGGACGGCTTCGATGTGCTGCTGGGGAGGGATTGGCTGCAGCGATTCAACCCGACGATCGACCGGACGACTGGGGCGTGCGTCGTGCGAGGATACGGAGGGAAGACGACGCTTCCGAAATGGACGGAGCCGGAGCCGGTGACGACACGTGTCAACGCGGTCAACATGCAGCGTGCGATGAACAGCGGAGCTCAGGCCTTCTTGGTGCACCTGTACGAGGTGGCAGCTTTCGAGAAAAATCGCGGACATCGACACTCTCTGCGCGGCAGTCCCCGAGGAATTGGCGAGCATTATTCGGAAGTATCCCGAAATTTTCGCGGATGACCTCCCGAATGGCTTGCCCCCACAACGGCCTGAGGATCATCGGATCCAGCTGGAGCCAGGAGCGCAACCTACTGTTTGGTCACAGTGGCGGCTCAGCCAACCAGAGCTCGCCGAGTTGCGGGCCCAGCTGGATTACCTGCTCGCCAAAGGATTCATCCGGCCAAGCACGTCACCGTATGCAGCGCCGATACTGTTCACACCGAAGAAAGACGGGGGCCTGCGCATGTGCATTGATTATCGGGCGCTGAATCGGGTCACGATAAAGTCGCGTTACCCGATCCCGCGAACTGACGATCTGCTGGATCAACTTCGCGGAGCTCGATACTTCTCGAAGATAGACCCGCGAGGCGGCTACCACCAAATTCGCGTGTTCGCCGACGACTGCCCGAAGACCGCATTTCGCACACGCTACGGCAGTTACGAGTTCACTGTGATGCCGTTCGGTCTGACAAACGCGCCCTCGACGTTCCAGCTCATCATGAATGGGATTTTTCGGGACATGCTGGACAAGAAAGTCATCGTGTATCTAGACGACATCCTGGTGTACAGCGCGACAAAAGAGGACCATCTGCGGGATTTAGAGGTGTTCCGGCGTTTACAGGGGCATCGGCTGATTACGAAGAGGTCTAAGTGCGAGTTTCTGAAGCCGGAGTTGGAATTTTTGGGGCATGTGGTTTCTGGCGAAGGGATCAAAATCGACCCGCGTAAAGTGGACGCCATCGTTAAGTGGAAGCCGCCTACTAATATCCCTGAATTGCAGAGTTTTCTGGGGTTTGTTAACTACGTTCGTCGTTTTGTACCTAATATGGCAGGGATAACCAAGCCGCTGACCGACCTGCTGCATCACGACAGTGATTTCCGGTGGGGGGAGAAGGAGCAGTCCGCCTTCGACGCCCTCAAAAACATTTTGGGTTCGCCCCCGGTACTCCGCCTCGCCGACCCATCTCGACCGTTCGAAGTCATCACGGACGCCAGCGATTCCGCCGTCGGCGCCGTCCTGCTACAGGACTTCGGCCAGGGGCTGCAACCCATCGCCTACGAGTCACGCAAGATTCAACCACCCGAGCGCAACTACCCAGTCCACGACAAAGAGATGCTGGCCATCGTCCATGCATTTCGCGTCTGGCGCTGCTACCTCACGGGAGCCGACGTGACAATTCGAACCGACCACAAATCGCTACAGTACATGCGCACGCAACCGACACTCAACCCGCGACAAATCCGGTGGTTGGACTTCCTCGAGTCCAATTTTCGGTACACCATCACGTACAAGAAAGGCGCCAACAACATCGCCGACGCCCTTACCAGACCATCCATGCAAAACGCGGCGGTGCTAATCGCCCATACCAACCCGATACTGACAGGACTATTCACCCACGGCTACAAGATCGACAGGTTTTTTCGGAACCCGCAACAACAGGCTGCCACACCGCATGGCAAGTACTACCTAAAAGCCGGTACGAACCGGATTTGGGTCCCAGCATACCAGCCTTTACGGGAGCTGCTGACGCAGGAGGTTCACGACTCCAACCTTTCCGGGCATTTCGGTACCGACAAAACACTGAAGCTGCTGCAGCGGAACTATTACTGGCCGGACATGCAGACCGATGTGCAGCGCTACGTGTCAACTTGCCCGACCTGCCAAACAATGAAGTCGTCGCGACAGAGGCCAGCCGGACTGCTGCAACCCCTCGCGCCACCCGAACGACCGTGGCAACAGGTGACGATGGATTTCGTCGCTTCCAGCTGGCACGAGTGGCAACGACTCGGTGATGGTCGTCGTCGATCGCCTAACGAAAATGGCGCATTTCGCCCCATGCCGAACGACGATCACAGCCGAAGATACAGCCAAACTGTTCATCTCCACCGTCGTACGCTTACACGGGTTACCCTCGGCGATCATCAGCGACCGTGATCCGAAATTCACGTCGAAGTTCTGGCAGGAGACGTGGGCACAGTACGGTACCCGCCTGCAGTTTTCGTCGTCATACCACCCGCAAACCGACGGACAGACGGAACGGACAAACCAGACAATGGAGCAACTGATTCGCACCAACTGCCCAGATATTAGCAAGTGGGAGGATTCGCTGCCGATGCTGGAATTCGCGTACAACAACGCCCCTTCGGCCACGAATAAACAATCGCCCTTTCTTCTTGAATTACGGGATAGACCCCGTGGTACCCTCTTCAACGACTGTGGACAATCCGGTACCACTGTCGCAGCAGTTTGTCACGGAGCTGCAGACAGCCCGCACGAAGGCAGCTGATTTCATTCGCAAGGCTAATACCACGGCCAGTCGCCAGGCGGATAAGCATCGACGAAATTTACCTTTCCGCGCAGGGCAAATTGTACTTCTGGACACCCAGAACCTCAGGATGCCGCAGCCCGCGAAACTCAGGCCCCGATACGTGGGACCATTTCGTATCATCCAGATGGTGACACCTGTCACCGCGAAGCTGCTGCTGCCCGACGATTGGAAAATACATGACGCCTTCCACGTCAGTTTGCTGCGTCATTACGAACAACCGCAGTCGCCAGCTGTTGCTCGGCCAACCATCGCGCCAACCACACGCCCCGTGGCAGAGCCCACGCTGGAACCTTGGAAGATTCTCAACCATCGTGTGGACGTGACTGCCGCCGGCCGCTCGGTGAAATTCCTGCTTCGCTGGAAAGAACGCACGAGCGAGGACGACACGTATGTCGCTGCTGATTCGCTCCTGGGACATCCGGTTGTGGATGCTTACCTGGCCCGCCGAGGTGTCTCGGATATTCACCACCTTTCTTAAGGGGGGGGGGGTAGTGTAAGGAATTTTCCGGATTCCTTACTGGGTCACACTGTACGCGTACAACCTCGGTTTTCGGAAAACCAGGCTCGGTCCGTCGACCTCGCCTTCCGAGCCACCATCGCGTCGCTTTCGGGTTTTCCAACCCCGAACCTGCACCCAACCATTTCGCGACCCCGCGACCTTGGCCTAGCTAGCTTCGCTATATTAGTCCTAGGCCTCGTTGTGTTCTCAGACGTTGTAATCACTTCCGCATTATTGAGTTCTGCGCACTCTTTTCTTTACAACTCATAACAGAATGTATCATGACGTGAGGGTTCGCCACACAAGAACTCGCAGGAACGTGCGACATCACAGTAAAAAACCGTTATGATTTCGCATTGTTCCACTGCCGAAGCCGCTACACCCTCGCTAGTTGACACGTACGAGTATTAACGACATGAGATACTTCGCAAGCGCTTGGTCCCTCTCGCCCTTCCCCTCAAAATGTAACCACCCTCTGTGGTCTCAACATTTCTTGGTTACCCTTCGCGACAGCAGCCTTTCGTGCATTCTAATATGTCCTCTGCACCCCTTTTGTTTCGGCGAAGGGTGTCCTTTCCGAGCACCAAAGGGACACTCACGATTTGGTGTTTGTTTTCCGAACTGTGGTCATTTTCGAGAATTTTGTGTGACTTCCCAAATTGTGACGAGTATGACCCGCCCTTAGCCTGCGCCTTCCCAAGCCAAGGTGCCGAAGCCACTGCCAAGCCTCAAAGCCTGGTCCAGAGTATACGCGATACAAAAGGGACAACTGTTGTCTAGGACGCCACAGTGAGCACATTCACGAATTAATAAATCTCCAAACATTGTTTTTCTCATAGCTACTGTCCCCGCTGCATTTTCAAGGCAAAGCCACCATGTTCTCAGTGACACCACTAGAGCGAACCTCGGACCATGACGGCTCGGATCGACTTGACGCGCGGCTCCTTGATTCCCGCGTGCTTCCGCAATGCCTCGACGCGGTGGAGTTCTGCCCGTCTCGCGATTTTCCCGGCACATTCGCAGTGGCATCGTATCAGCTAGTAGAGCCGCAGGCTTCTGGCGATGCTGACGTGGCTGCCACGGTCACCGCCGAAGATTCTTCCGAAGCTGACGGCGAGACGCCAAACGGAAAACGTCAGTCGCGTCTCGGCGGAGTGCACCTCTTCAACCTTGCTGACGTCACCAATGCTGACGTGACAGACGATCATGGACGTCTTTTTGATGGACAAGAACCGCCACTTCCAGCGGCAGCACGCATGGATCACCTGCAGTCAGTCAGCGCTTGCGGTATTCTGGACATCAAGTGGCGAAGCGAGGGATTTCGTGTCCAGCGGAGGGAAGCAGACGAGGAGAATGAAGAAATTGCAAATCTGAAGGAACGAAGAGAGGATGTTGCTGAGAGGGGAAATCCGACTGGGCCGATGTTGCTGGCAGCAGCAACTGCTGATGGAACCGTGGATCTATATGAGATGCAGGGAGGACCGATTGCCGCTGCACCACCAAACCTGTCGCTGTTCACCCGAATTCCCTTTCCTCCCTCCGATCCTTCCGAGCCTGGTGCCAAACCTCCCATGTGCCTCGCGTTGGATTGGTGGACGGCTGGGGAATCCGAGGGAGGAAGGGTGAACCGAGAGGAGCAGGTGGTAGGCGCAGGGGAGAGCGGGAGTGGGGAGACTGACGAGGAGGGAACAGGAGAGAGAAGGAAAGACTGGGGTGTGAGGAGGGATCGGATCGCTGTGAGTCGGTCAGATGGATCGCTGGCGGTGGCACGGCAGGGAGAGGGTGGTGCGTGGGTGGCGGAGCACGCGTGGCCAGCACACGAGTTTGAAGCATGGACCTGCTGCTTCAACATTTGGGACCCTGAGGTGGGTGGGTGTTGTCATTCATTCAGCATGACAGCTTGCTTGCAGCACTCCACAGTGATTATCTGATATGCATTAGCATAATGTTTTGGTGTCATTCCCTTAGTAACCCAACCCTCCTCAATTTTCCTTCGTTACTTCATTTCCATTACTTCATTACTTCATTTCCCCTTTTCCATTCAGGTGCTTTACTCAGGTGGCGATGACTGTGCGATGTGTGCCTGGGACCTCCGCACGCACATCCCCTCATCCCCCTCCTCATCCCCGCTATCTCCATCCTCTTCGCGGCCTGCATGGCGCAACATCAAGGCACACCGTGCCGGAGTCACGTCTCTCCGTTGCTCCCCCCACTCTCCGCATCTCCTTGCCTCCGGGAGTTATGACGAGGCGGTGAGATTCTGGGATGTCCGCATGCCGCAAGTGCCTGTAGCTGTTTGTCAAGTTGCGACAGGCGGAGGGGTTTGGAGGATCAAGTGGCATCCGGAAAAAGCTCACCTTGTTCTGGCTGCTTGTATGCACGGAGGAGCTACAATACTTTCCCTTTCCCAAGATCTTTCCAGTGCTGTGGGTATCCCTATTCCACCTGCAAAGGATACGAAGAGTTTATTGCACCAGGATGAGGCTGGGAGGGTGTCATTCCAGGGTCTATGCGGAGAAGTGGTTGAGCGATATGAGCAGCACAAGTCCATGGTTTATGGCATCGATTGGGGTCCATGCAAGAATTCATCCGCAGGTGCAAATGCAGAAGCTGATAGTGCATGGGTTGTTGGCTCGTGCTCTTTTTACGACAAGTTGTTGCAGGTTTGGAGGCCTTGTGCTGTGTAGTGAATTTGTGATGACCCAGCTTTGTTGTGGCAGCACTGCATTGGATAGTTGTTGAAGAGGAAAATTTGTGGAACCATTATGGAGTTAACAATGGGAGAGTTCGTTTGACAAAGAATATGTACTCTACTTGTAGTGCATTCGTAACAGGCACTACAGTTGAACCAGGCGAAACGAATGTGCCGCTTGAGCGAACCTTTAGCGTCAGCTGATCCCGTTTCCGTCAACTTTTTGCGCGGTCGTGAAACACGTTCGTTTGTTCCTTGAAAATGGGCGCTTCCGCTGTACTGGTCAGAGTGAACCGAGCTGAACCGATTCATGTTTTCTTTCCTGCTATGCTGCCTGATTTCCATCCCCTCTACACCACTCCTTGCCTTTCCTGCTCAATTCAAGCTATAACTCACCAGTCAATACTGATGATACTAGTATCGTATTAGTGGAGCCATGATCTGACGATTAGTGCCCGTGCGGTGGTAAATAGTCCAATCACGCTGTTCTGGAGTTGCTGCTTTGAATACTAGATTTGGGAGGCTCGATAAGCTTTACATTTCGGTCTACTGCTGCTCCAGAGACACCACTGTTCGTTGTGACAACACGATGTGGGGAAGGTAGCAATAGATGGCTTAAACGTACAGTAAGTTTTGCATCACCGCAGAATACCTTTGACTTATCGTTGAAACTTATTCGTCTCCTTTCAGGTTTGGAGGTGGAAAATCCGTACCCGGGAGAATAAAGCTCACCAGGGGTGAGCCTCAGCAAGCCATAAGTCCGACGAGTGCCGTGAGAGCACGCGAGGGTCCTGACATTGATGCTGCCGAAATTCTTAGACCTTCAAACGAGGAGAGACAGGTACGGTGGTATGCTGATCGTTTTAGCTCCTAGCTTTTCACATTATGCGTTCTTCTTATTGTGATTTTACTGTGCTTGACCAGCTAGCTTCGAAATCTGGAATACAAGAGGCCTCTCCACCAGTTGCGGAAACGGCTCCAGCCGTAGTAGAGCCGATGCCCGAGTCAAGATCCCTGGATACTGCTAGGGTTGCCAAATTCAGAAAGGAATTATCGGCTCCTGCAGTTGACCTAGGTAAATATCGATTCAGATCAACCACACGTATGCTCTCGTTAAAGCTCTAGTCTTATGAAGCGTCGTGGCGCTTACATTCAGATGCTCTTCGGGAGCTTTCATGGAGTGGCATACCTCCCAACTTAAGACCAACTGTCTGGCGTCTTTTACTGGTGAGAATAAGAATGTTCATATGTGGTCAATAGTGCCAGCAGAATGTCTGGTCATATTAATCCTTTCAATTTTGTATGCTTACAGGGATACGCACCGCCAAATGCGGATAGAAGAGAGACAGTTTTGGCCAGGAAACGTCAAGAGTACAGGGAGTGGGTTCCCCAGTATTATGACATTCCAAATGAAGACCGCAGTGATGATGAAATTCACACTCTTCGCCAGGTAGACACCACAATCACCGCCCTTTGACACCCAGTCCTCCTCTGTACAGATATCTGTAGATTGCCCGAGAACTGTTCCAGATGTCCCCTTCTTCCAGCAAACCTTGATGCAGACAGCAATTGAGCGTGTACTCTACATTTGGTAAGTTACTGCATGGCTCGCTGTTGTCACGTTGTTGTGAAATAGTCCTTGATGTGATTGGAATGTTCGTTTTGCAGGGCTATACGCCACCCAGCCAGTGGATATGTTCAAGGAATTAACGACCTGCTGACTCCATTCCTCACAGTGTTTCTTTCGGAGATATTTGAAGGAGACATTGATACCTGGGTGGTTTCAAAGCTTTCTGAAGACACCCTCTTGCAAGTCGAGGCAGATAGTTACTGGTGTCTGTCCAAGTTGCTTGATGGCATCCAAGACCACTATACTTTTGCACAGCCAGGCATCCAGCGCCTTGTTTTCCGCCTCAAGGAGCTTGTGAGAAGGATTGATGGTGAGGTTGCCTTCTGTTGTGGCTTGACCAACAGCCTGTATATGAACCTTTGACTCACTTCAATGAATGCAATTTGCAGAGCCTGTTTCTCGACACATGGAAGAGCACCACTTGGAATTTCTTCAGTTCGCGTTCCGGTGGTTCAACTGCCTGCTTATCCGTGAGGTATGCCCAATTCGCCTCTCACCACTGATAATGTGTTTGGACTTCATATTGGTCTTTTTAGGCTGATCTACCTATGTAAGGCACCAATCGTGTCCCTTTTCCCCCTGCATGTTTGCAGATTCCGTTCTCTATTGTGGGAAGATTGTGGGACACATATCTTTCAGAGGGTGATGGTTTTGCAGAGTTCCTGGTTTACCTATGTGCAAGTTTCCTGCTCACCGTAAGTTTGGAATGCAACGTGCTTTGCTTTCTCTTACGTTGATTTGTTGGTGTGTTACCCTTGCTGAAGTAGTCTGGCATTTTTTATCGCAGTGGTCAGAACAACTTCAACAGATGGACTTCCAAGAAATGGTATTGTTCTTGCAACATGTGCCAACAAAGAGATGGAGTGAAAAGGAGCTTGACATGGTGTTGTCACGAGCCTTCATGTGGAGAGTCATGTTCAACCGTTCACCTAGACACTTGAACTCGTCATGATGGATTCTGTTACTGAAGCTGTCAATATTTCTTTGGATAGATAAAAATTCCGTTGTAGAATTCATAGTTTGACTGAACTTGATTGTTTTGTAATATAGTCGTAGGCGTAGCAACTAAATTGTGTATTGCAACAGCCAGGTTCAGCACTGCAATTCAGATCTGAGTGCGAGGCGTACAGTACATCGCGGGACAGACGGCTGAGCTTGAACATTTGAATGAACACCAGACCAGACCAGATCTCTCATCACGCGCTAGTGCTGGGGTTTGTATCTCACAACACTCCGCTAGGTTTTCTTACGGCTTTTCCGTTCCTGCAAGGGTTTGTTCTGTTTTTCCGTTCTCGCCGTCCACACGCTGACACCTGATCTTTACAGTACTCCGTGATGGCTGAGACCAAGGAAACCTATCAGGAGGAAGAGCTCGTAGACTTCGAAGAGGAAGAAGAAGCCGCTCCCGATGCCGGAGCTGCCAAAACGACAGAAGCAGCTAGGAAGTAAGCTGGGCGTTGTTGGTCTCTTCGAAAGCTGGTCCTGGAATCGGGATACAAATCTGAGTTTATCCATTTCGACGTACTTTGCGCAGGGGATATGTGGGGATTCATAGCTCAGGTTTTCGTGACTTCCTTCTCAAGCCCGAGCTGCTTCGCGCTATTGTGGACTGTGGTTTTGAACACCCATCAGAAGGTGCATATATTCGCTGAAGCATGTCGAGGGTGTGTTATCTTTTCACTTGCCGGAGGTAGTTTCTGAGTTAATTTGCCGTCTTTTTTGCAGTGCAACACGAGTGTATTCCCCAGGCCATTCTTGGCATGGATGTGATCTGTCAAGCCAAGTCTGGTATGGGGAAGACAGCTGTGTTTGTGCTGGCAACGCTTCAGCAGATCGAACCAGTAGCTGGGGAGGTGTCGGCGCTGGTCCTCTGCCACACCCGTGAACTCGCATATCAGGTGTGCTTTTGGTCTCCGTAACAGCTTTAATGTAGCCCCCCATAAGATCTAAGCAGGATTTCGACCAATTCCGTGTTGCTGCAGATCTGTAACGAGGTTCAGAGGTTTACCACTTACCTTCCGGATGTCAAAGTCGCGGTCTTCTACGGTGGCGTGGCGATCAAGACGCACAAGGATATGCTCAAGAACGAATGCCCGCACATTGTCGTTGGAACTCCCGGTCGTATTCTCGATCTTGCTCGGCAGAAGGATCTGAACCTGAAGCATGTTCGCCACTTCATTCTTGATGAATGCGACAAGATGCTGGAGTCACTCGGTAAGTCTTGCTCTGGCGTGCGTTACTCTTGTTCACATTTTATTTTAGCGAGTGTACTGATTGGTCGTTTCTTCGACGTAACAGATATGCGGAGGGATGTTCAGGAGATCTTCAAGCTTACTCCTCACGACAAGCAGGTCATGATGTTTTCCGCGACGCTCAGCAAGGAGATTCGCCCCGTCTGCAAGAAGTTTATGACCGATGTAAATATCCCCGATGCACTCGACCTCTGTAGCCCAGGACATCATCTCCAGTCGCTGTGTCAGCAGCTGTGCTCATCAGCTCCAGCCTTGCGGGATCAGCTTAGAACCACGGGGTATTCGATATTAGGTTGGGAACTGGAGCGGGTCAGAAGTTACTGAGGAGTGGGTTACGCGTGAGAGATGTGCTAGAGGGTGTGGAGGCTTATGGCTGGAGAGTCTTTTTATATGGGAGTGGATTTGGGGGTGGTGAAGGGAGGAGGCCGTTGAGGGACTGATTGGTTTGCGGACTGGAGGTGGAACTGCTTCTGGTTGAGGTCGGCCCAGCTTCCAGCCGTTGGTGCGGATAATTGAGTGCTGGGCCGCGTCGGAGTCGCGTGCTCTGAAGGCATCAATTACTCACGCGGAAAGCCATCTGAGCCCCTCGATTGACAATGGGTACCGCAACCCTGGTTCCGATTCTTCGTATCTCGCTGTTTTTCTCTAAAATTGCGGGAACGACTGTGTAGTATCTTTCAATGCGTGCATGTTTTCCATTTCATAGGTTGATCCAGTGCGGCTCCTTCACATGCTCTGGTGCAGAGCAGGAGCAGTATCTTCAACCATGGCATTTCCATATCATTCTTCTCCCTCCCTTGGTTTGTGCTGTGTACAGCCGATGGAGATCTACGTTGATGACGAAACGAAGCTCACACTTCATGGACTTGTTCAGGTTGGTACATCCGTTTCCTTCCTCTGCTTCTCATATTTGGAGGCTTCTCTTTTACTTACTGCCTGTTCATTTTACATCTTGCAGCACTACATTCAATTGAAGGAGAACGAGAAAAACAGAAAGCTAAACGACCTTCTTGATGCTCTTGACTTCAATCAAGTCGTCATCTTTGTCAAATCAGTGAACCGCGCTGCTCAGCTGAACAAGCTCCTGGTGGAATGCAATTTCCCTGCTATTAGCATTCATTCTCAGATGACACAGGAGGAGAGGTAAGCTTGTTGGTCAAGTTATTGCAATTGTCTTTCTGCAGCTTGTTGCTTAGTCGGCTGGCTTGTTTTGCAGGCTGACTCGCTACAAGGCGTTCAAGGAGGGACACAAGCGCATCCTGGTGGCAACAGATCTTGTGGGGCGTGGCATTGACATCGAGCGAGTCAATATCGTCATCAACTACGACATGCCTGAAAATGCAGACACGTATCTTCATCGGGTACGTTGAAACCTACAATGGGTATTGCAGTATGCATGAAAGCAGTTGGATGTGTTTCCTGATGTGTTTGGGGCCTGCATTGTTTCAGGTTGGCCGTGCTGGTCGTTTTGGCACAAAGGGTCTAGCTATCACTTTTGTGAGCTCAGAGGAGGATTCGAAGAAGCTGGATCAGGTATTTTTTTGCTCGTGATGGCATCAGATTTTTGTGCTATGTTGCTTGGTTGCTACATGACAATGCTGATTCGTATTGGTTGGCATTGAATTTGCAGGTTCAGTCACGGTTTGAAGTTGACATCAAGGCCTTGCCAGAGCAGATTGACACGTCTACGTATAGTAAGTCCCCCCTTCGCCAGGCTGGCATTCAAATTTATGTTGCTTCTGTGAAGCTGAAAGATACTAAGTTTTTCCTTGTCTGCCGTTTTGCAGTGCCTTCTTAGATACAATATGTGGGCATCGTTACAGAAAAGGACTAGCGGTCATCTCATGTGTTTTACATGCCACTTGGGATGTAGCTAGTTAATGTGAAATTAAGTCCACTTGATATGTTTTGTTACGTTTTAACCTAATTTTGCCAAACACTTCAGTTGTACTTGTTTTCCATATGTATCGACTTCATACCATTTTCAATGCACCCATTCGCAATGGTGCTGCTGGGACACTCGCAAAATCTCGAAACCACCTGCTCTACACCTGATGGCGCCGGGAAACTGCATGTCTGAGGAAGACCAATCGGTATAACAAGAAGAGCACAGTGGCACCTGCTAATTCAGGCCGTTGTCCCTAGCGTCCCTAGAGTTTCATATATCGCCACTCCTTGCGCAAAACCGCCATCTTCTGCCAGGATTCGAAGTCTGCAGTTGTAACCCACGCTGCACCCAGCTTTCTCTCGCGATCCGGTGCTTTTTCAACAGCAACTCGACCATGTCGGCAGTCACTATTCGAGTGGAGTTAGGAGAAGACACACAGCTTCAAATGCCTCCCTAATGCGATCATGATCCAACATATTCCAACTTGTGAAAGTTTGAGTGACAATAGCTGAACTCCGAGACCATGACTTCCAGGAAAGCGTCTCCCCTTGTTCTTGCTTTGCTGCTTTTCGCAGTGAGCACCTATTTCGACGGAGCCCGAGCGCAGTCTAACGGCGATGGCTCCGTATCTCCGGGGCTGAACGCAAACGCCAGTCTCATCGACTGCGGATGCAGTCCTTACGCCCCACCCGTCTGTGGCTCCGACTTTGTCACTTATTCCTCCTACTGCCAGGCGGTGTGCAACAACGTCAGGATCACCTCCAGGCTCCGCACCCCCAGGCTCAGCACCCCCAGGCTCAGCACCCCCTGGCTCCGCACCCCCAGGCTCAGCACCCCCAGAAGCAGCACCCCGAGCAGGACCACCCTCAGCAGGACCTGAGTCACCAGTGACCTCAACCGGCGCAGTCAAGGGGGGAGGGTCTACCTGAGACACACCTGAAGGAGCAGGACCGGGAGCGGGGAGGGGGTCTACCTGGGGAGCACCTGGAGCGAGAAAGAGCGGCGGGGGGGGGGAGACGGGCAGTGCGGTAGGGGAAGAGACGGTAAAAGGGAACCGACTCGTCGAACGTGACGTCCTGAGAGGGGAAGACACGGCGCGAGGTGGGGTGGTAAAACTGCCAACCAGGCGTGTCAGGGACAAAGCCAAGGAAGACACAGGGAACAGCACGGGCGGAGAGCTTGTCCGCGGTGGTATCGCGGACAAAGGCACGAGCACCCCAGACCCGGAAACGCGACGCATCGCCAACCTTCCCCGTCCACAGCAGTGTGGGCGAGGTCTCCGGCAAGGAGACACGGGGCTAGAGGTTGAGCTGATGCGCGGCGTACCGGACCGCAAACGGCCACAGAAAATGGGGGGCAGCCGCATGGATCATGGAGGTACGAGCGACCTCCATGACTAAGCCAATGCGGCGCTCAGCAACCCCATTCTGCTGCGGAGAGGCCGGAAGCGTGAACGTCTGGCGGATGCCGTGCTCCGCACAGAAGGCTGCCAAGAGGTCTGAGGAGAACTCACCACCTCTGTCAGAGTGCAGACGCAGGACAGGAAAGTCCGACTGGAACCGCTCGCGGAGCTGGAGACGAACAGCGCGGATCCGCTCCATAATTTGCAATCGCGCGTGCCTTAACCGAGCAGGAATGGCTCCTGATTCAACTCTCGGGATCAACAACCTGGATACCACGTGCGGGGCAGTTTGCCCGTTTCCCGAGCTTCCTGGGAGTGTTTCGTTCAATTGCCCTGATAGGTACCGATCTGCGTGCAACCAGGCGTGCATGCAGACTGCAACGACTATATTAAGAAACGGAGGGAAGTACCTGACTGCTTATAATACGTGCAGGTCCGGATGCTTGTATTCACGCTGCGGCATCTGGAATTAGGTGAATTGATTGCAGAACCAGGCAGGCTCTGCAGACCGTATCAGCTTGTGCAGCTGCTTCATCTTCATAGCCACTCTTGGTTGGACAAATAAGAACCGTCTGGGCCCTGCCAAAATCTCATACTCCTGTCAGTCCTACCATGGAGATGTTCTCAGTTGTTTGTTTCGTGGTTTGTAAAAGGGTAACCTCCCATGCTGGTTCCTTCTTCCAGTTGCCACTTCACTGCAACGAGGCATTTGATTATGTGACATGTTCCATGCTGAAAGTTCCACTGTCTTACGGTGCCTTTACTCCCGAGAAGCAACGAATACTGATTGTGCAGGAAACCAGTTTTCACTAAACACGGTAACCTCAGTCAGGTTGGGGGGCATCTGGTGGCAAGCTAAGCCCATTGACCAGCGTATGGCAGGTTACGTTATACCGTACATGCTAAAACATAGCGATGCGGTACCTGTATTTACAATAATTACCTGCCTACAGAGGTTGATGCTGACTAAATACAGACTTGCGTAAGCTACCTGCTTCACTGCTACTGTAACATCTGCCACAAGAAGATGGTGCCCATCCATGCTGCACTCAACCAGCAACAGTAACAACTTACAGTGACCTCATGCTACAGTTTAGCTACAGTATTTCCTCACACCGTGTTACCCATCACCCACCCCACCACCAGAATTTTCCACCGGTTGCCTCCCCTTCCCTCTCCCTCCACCCCTCCCTCTCCCGTCATTTCCCCGTCCCCGTCCTCCGCTTCCTCTCCCCCTTGCATTCCCCTCCTTCCCTCCTCCCTTTCCACCTCTTCGCTTCCCTCCCATTCCCTCCCCAAGCTCCTCTGCTCCTCTCATTTCCTCTCCTGCCTCCTCCCCTTCCCTAGCACCACCCTCCATGCAAACCCCGTCACTTTCTCCCACCATCCCTCCCCTCCTCCCCCCTCTCTCTCCCCCTCTAGCTCTCCCTCTCTTTCCACCTCTCTCAGACTCAAGCGCCCTCTTCCTGGACTGTCCATTCTCTTCAGATGCCCGTTCTGCTGCCCCACTCGACTTTTCCTGGTGTTTTGAAACATTTTCATCTCTGGCTGCACGTCTCTTTCTCGAACCCATGGAGATATTTTCTTGCCGGTCTGCCCGCCTCTTTCTCGGCCGTTTCAATACAAGTGATGCATCGGCTACTGCAGAAGATCCAGCAACAGCAACAGCACCAGCATCACCGCTGCTGGCACCATCTGCACCGCACCCAACCGCACAATTGGCTATATCAGAGCCATCCAAACCATTTTCATGCGACCCTCTCCATCCCCCAGCCACTCCCAAGCCTCCTCTACCAAACCTAGATCGGCGCACCGGTTTACTGCTCCGAGCCTTCCTCACCCAGGCCTGAGCTCCATGTAACATTGCATTCCTAGCCTCTGGCCCAGTCCCAATTCTAACCTCTGGTCTATTTCCGTCCCTAATCTCCGGCCCATTCTCATCCCCCCTTCCATCTCCAGCCACACAAGAAACCGCCTCCGGACTGGAGCTTTGAAACGCCCCATTCCTTGCCTCTGACCCGTTCTCAACCCTAGCCTCTGGCCCATTCCGATTCCCAGCACCTGGACCATTCTCATCCCCCCTTCCATCTCTACCCACAGCCTCCAGGACAGAGCTTTGAAAAGTCCTGTTCCTTGCCTCTGGCCCGTTCTCAACCCTAGCCTCTGGCCCATTCCGATTCCCAGCACCTGGACCATTCTCATCCCCCCTTCCATCTCTACCCACAGCCTCCAGGACAGAGCTTTGAAAAGTCCTGTTCCTTGCCTCTGGCCCGTTCTCAACCCTAGCTTCTGGGTTCAAGCTTTGAATTGCCCCGTTCCCAGCCTCCGACCCGGTTTGAACCCTAGCCTCTAGGTCAGAGATTTGAGACGACTCATAACCAGGATGAAGGCCGTGCCGTTCGGAGCCTTGGACCAGTATCTCCCCACGAAAGTTTTCGTCTGCTCGGCCTCCTCCTCTTCCACCAACCTCCTCCACTCTCACTTCAATTCCCTGCCCCCCTTGCTCTTCTCCCTCCTGCCTTCGCTCCGCTCCTCCTCCTCCTCCTCCTCCTCCTCCTCCTCCTCCTCCTCCTCCTCCTCCTCCTCCTCCTCCTCCTCCTCCTCCTCCTCCTCCTCCTCCTCCTCCTCCTCCTCCTCCTCCTCCTCCACCCCTGAATCCCCCATTCAGATCTCCCAGCCCACTCCTGCCCTCTTCATCCTCTCCTCTCTCCTCTTGCTCCTCCCCTCCTTCCTGTCTCCCTCTCTCCTCTTGCTCCTCCCCTCCTTCCTGTCTCCCTCTCTCCTCTTGCTCCTCCCCTCCTTCCCACCGGTTCAATAGCCTCTGTGACACATTTATTCCCTCCTCCTCCGCACCACCTGCCACTGATCCCTCCTCTTGCCCCACCACACCACGACTGCTTCTCTTTCTTCCCCTTTTGGGCCTCTCGACACCACCACCACGAGGTCTTAAAAGAGTCTCTTGCCCCTCCACATCTTCTCCTCGCTTCTTTCTTCCCCGTTTGAGGCTCCTCACGGGTGACTCTTGCCCTTCCCTCTCACTTTCTCTGCCCGCTGCAGGGAGTGTTTGAGATTTCTCAAAAACTCCCCGTTTTAGGCTCCTCACATGTGACTCTTGCCCTTCCCTGTCAATACTTCTTCCCACTCCTCCCCTTCTCGCTTGCCTGCCTCCCTTTCTTTTCCCCCCTTTCACGCCTTCTCCCCTTTTCACTCCTTCTCTCCTACTCACGTCCTCTCCCTCACCTCTCACGCCCTCTTCCCCATTCACACCTTCATTCTCCATCACACCTTCTCCCTCCCTCTCACCTTCTCCCTCACTCACATCTCCTCCCTCCCTCACACCTCCCTCCCTCACACCTTCCCCAACTCCCAGTCCTCCTCTCCCTCCTATTCCTCCCTCACTCCCTCCTTCTCCCCCATTCTCTCCTCCATACCCAACTGGCAACCCTCCCCCACGAATCCAATGCAACCGCACCATCTGCTGAAGATTCCGAGCCTGAGCCTCGGTCCGAGCCTGCTTGGTCCGGCGCACGAGCCTCCTGCGTGCTGCTGCCCGAACCTGATCGGTCCAGGGCCGGTCTACAATGCTCCAGCCAATGGGAAGAAAGGGAGGTGGTAACCGTTGTGGCGGATGTAACAGCGAGGGATGTAACACGGAAGGGTGTAGCAAGGGAGGTCGTATGAAGTGCGGTTGGTGTGGAAAAGAAGGGGGGAAGAGGAACGGTGGCGGGGGAAAAGGAGGAGGGAGAGAGGGGTTGAAGAGAAGAGGACGGGATGAAGGGGGGTGGAGGGACGAGGGGGTAGCAGCAGGTGCTGCAGCAGGAACAGTAGCAGGAGGAGCAGAAGAGGGAGAGCTTGGGAGCATCCCTGCTTCTTCTCCTCCTCCTCCTTCTCCTACTTCTCCTTCTCCCTCTCCTCCTACTCCTCCTTCTCCTCCTTCTCCTTCTCCCTCTTCTCCTCCTACTCCCTTACTCCCATCCCCTGCCTTTTCAGAACCTTCCCCCTTCCCCTTCTCCACCATATCCTCCCCATTTCCCCCCTCTGCCCCGGCTTTGTTCCCCTTGGCCTTCCCCCCTTCCGCCTTTCCCCCTTTACTCTTCTTCCCCCTCCCCCTGGAATCCCCCGGTGCTCTCAGGAATCGACGGCGAGGGGGAGGAGGGAGAGGAGGGGGAGGAGGGGGAGGTGGGGAAGAGGGGGACGGGAGAGACGCAGCAGTAGCAGGGGGGGTTGGAGCAGGGGGGGAAGGAGCAGGGGGGTTTGGAGCAGGGGGGCCAGGAGCAGGGGGAGCAGTAGCAAGGGGAGCAGGGGGAGCAGGGGGAGCAGGAGGAGCAGCAGAAGCAAAGGGGGCAGGAGCAGGGGGAGGGTCAGAGCGAGCAGGGGAATAAGGAGCAGGGAGGGGATTAGTAAGGGTAGCAGAGAGGGACGGAGCAGCAGGAGCAGGGGCAGGGTTCGTAGGAGAAGCAGGTAAACTGGCAGGAGCGGGGGCAGCAGAAGCTGCAGGAGAAGCACCCGATGCAATCGGCGGCGCTGTTCTTGCTACTGGTGCTGAAAGTGGCGTTGTGGGTGCTGACTGTAGTGCTGTGGGTACTGGTGGTGGTGCTGTTGGTGCTGTTGGTGCTCCTGACACGGTTGCTGCGACCTGCGTTGGTGCTGGTAACAGCAATCCGTCAATTCCTTCTGCACCTGCACTGCCACCAGCAGTAACAGCAGCAGAAGCACCACCAATACTACCACTTGCTCCTGCATTTATATTTGATGGTGGTGTGAATATATTCGCTGGTGGTGTGACTATATGCGGTGGTGGTGTGACTATATCCGGTGGTGCCGTTCCTGCAATTGATGCTGTGACTGCATGAGGAGATGCTATTGCATGTGCAGGCGTGACTCCCCCTGTTGCCGCCACACCACTCAGCACTCCATCTGCCTCCTCTGCTGCATTTGGTGGTGGCGTGGGGACTAAATGTGGCGGTGCCGTTGCTGCATGTGCTGGTGTGACTGCACTTGCTGGTGTGGCTCCCCCTGTTGCCGCCACACCATGCAGCGATCCATCTGCCTCCTCTGCTGCATCTCCTAGCCTCCCTCTCTTCTGCCTCTCTCCTTTTCGATGCATCTTGAGCCACTGCCTGCAGCGTTGCAGCATGCATCAAGTCAGCAATCCCACAAATGCCACAAATCCCACAATTGCCACAAATGCCACGGGAGAACAGTGATCGTGGGAAAGAGGTGACTTTTGAGTCGACTCAAAAGTCACCTAGTTGCAGCATAGCAGCATGAAGTCAGCAATTCCACAAATGCCACGAATGCAGGAAAACAGTGATCGTGGGAAAGTAGATGTAAACAAAATGCACCTCGCACGGTCTTCTGATTCGACTTTTTATAGACGCAGCCTATGAATTGGAAAAAAAACAAAAAAAGAACAGCAGACAGCAGATTATCACATTGCACTTCTTTGATCTCGAGTTAGTTTCCCTACCTCTTGCACTGGCAGTCCGTTCTAGGCCAGCAAGCAATAGCCACACTGTCAGGTGCTCCATTCTGTACCCTTTTCAAGATGCCTCAGTATAAAAAGAACCACTTTTGTTTCTTACCTCTTGCACTGGCAGTCCGTTCTGGGCCAGCAAGCAACAGCCACGTTCGTCCAATTCCCCACGCCGAACCTCTCCACAGCCTCCTCCAGCCGCCGAACCTCCTCGCCAGACCACGGCCCGAACCTCAGGTTCGGGTCGAGCACGTTGCACCAGCGCTCCCGAACCTGCACCTCGGTGCGGTTCGGCACCAGGGCTGCGATTCTCCTCCAATGGGGCGTGCCGAAGACTCCCACAGCCAATCGCAGCCTGTCGTTCTCCTCGGGGGTCCACGCTGCTCTGCTGACGTGGCGCAGATGATGCTGCCAGCTGGACAAAGAGGATAAGGATAATGATACCAGAGAAAGGAGGCAAGGTGCGGAGTCACATCAAATAAGGGATGTGGACGTGGGAAAGGGACACGTGTTACAACCACTCACCTCCTTACAATCACTCACCGCTGCAAGCACTCTCTGCCGCTCCGCCCTTCCACCGCCAGCGCCACTGCCGCCCCGTTCACCTCCCAGTGCCCCTATGAGCCTGCTCTAATATCATACCAGTCAGGTCAGAAAGCACTCACCGCTGCAAGCACTCTCTGCCGCTCCGCCCTTCCACCGCCAGCGCCACTGCCGCCCAGTTCACCTCCCCGTGCCGCCTCACTGCCGCCGCCAGCTGTCTGTCCTCTTCTGCCGACCAATGGCGTCGCGCCACGTGGGGGTTCCACCACTTCTGGTACCCCATCAGACACTGTAGCGCCGTCCTCCTCCTCCTCTTTTCCCCCTTCTCACTCCCCTTCCCTTCCCCTCCTCCTCTCCCTCCTCCTCCCCCTCCTCTCTGCCTTCCTACCCCTTGTCCACCCGCCCTTCTCTCCCCATCATTCTCCCTTCCCACACCCTCTCCTCCCTCCTCCCAGTCCACGTCCTCTCCCTCCTCCTCCTCCCTCACTCTCCGGTTTACCTCCTCTGCAATCCCCTCCCACCCACACAGCCCTCTACTCTCCGCCACCTCCTTCAGAATCTCCTCCTCCCTCTCGCTCCACTCGCCCCACGTTATGCTCGGGTCGTCCACATTCAACCACCTGAAACGCAACAGAACGACTCAAATTGGTTTGAACCGCACTGAACCACTCCTTTCATGATTCATTCCCCAACCGGCGTAGTCTCTTCCCTCTTGTTCCACTCTCCCCACGTTATGCCGGAGTCGTCCACGTTCAACCACCTGAAACGCAAGGGAAACACTCAAACCGTTTTGAACCGCACTAAACCACTCCGTTCACCCTTCCACCCACACAAACCGCTACCCTCCGGCACCTCCTTGGCGTATTCTTCATCGATGTCCTGGTGCTGCACTGAATTCACCTGACTGTTCTTCACCGCACTCAACACCCTTCAATTACCTCAGATTCAATCTAAACCTACCACTTCCTTGGACCAAACCCCCTCACCGGATTCCAACTTAACCTACCCAACCGCAATTCACCGCACTCAGCCCCCCTCGTTACCTCAATTTGCACTCGAGTGCAGTACGCCTGACGTGCAACCCCCTTCCAAGGCTCCTATTGGCCGGATTCACAAACGCAGCTGCTACTGTCGACCAATCAACTCGTGCCACGGCAGCACGCATGGCCTCTGGTGCGAGCTGGCGCGATTTGATCTCTGCTATGGTGCGCTGGAGTAGAGACCTGGCAGGAAAGAGTATTGGGGAGTGGAAGAATAAAGGGGAGTGAGGAGAGGGCAGCACACGGTGTGAGCTGGCGAGATTTGACCCCCCTACGGTGACACTGGAGGAAGGACCTGGAATCAGGGGGGGCAAAATGGGAAAAGGCGATCAATTGGGAGTAGGGTGTTGGTGTGGGTGTGGGTAGCATGCACTGGACGATGCATTGAGGAGTGGGTGTCGGTGTTGGTGTGAGAGGGCAGGGTTTGATTCCAGCTACAGTGCGCTGGATGACGTTTGAGTCGACTCAGAAGATTCCTGCTGCGGTGAGCTGGATGGCGCCACCTGGGGTTGGTGATTGCCCCTCACTCACCGCCTCTCTACCTAAGTCACACCCTCACTCACACGCTCACTCACACACACGCCCACTCACCTATCCAGAGTGATCTCTGGACGTTCTTTCACGGCCTCTTCAATCAACCCCTGCACCACCTGCTGCTCCACCCCCTCCCATTGACTGGTGCTCTCACTTACTCGGAACCTCCCTCTCCCAACCCCTCACATGCACGTGCATTCATTCACTCACCTATCCAGAGTGATCTCCGGTCGTTCCCTCACCGCCTCTTCAATCATCCCCTGCACCAGCTGCTGCTCCACCCCCTCCCGCACACTCTCACTCACCCTGTAATTCACACATGCACCCCAACATTCACTCACTCACCTATTCAGAGTGATTTCCGGTCGTTCTTTCACCGCCTCTTCAATCATCCCCTGCACCACCTGCTGTTCCACCCCCTCCCGCAACGCCCCATCCTCATTCACACGCTCCCACACTCAGACACTCACTCACCTATCCAGGGTAATTTCCGGTCGTTCTTTCACGGCCTCCTCAATCATCCCCTGCACCACCTGCTGCTCCACCCCCTCCCTCAACGCGCCCACCTCGCCCTTCCCCCACTTCCTCCCGCGAAACACCAGCGGCATCACCCCTCTCAACCGCTCAAAGACCCCTTGGTCCTCATTCACAGGCATATCCCTTGAGGAAGCTTCCAGGTTGCTGCGATCATGGGGATCCGGGTCGAATCCAAGAGAAGAGTACTTGTGTTTTCTCCCGCGCTTCTGTCTCGGCTTGGCCCAGTTCACTAGAAGCATCTCGGCTGCATGCCCCCCGTAGATGCGACCCCCCCCCTCGCCTCCCCCTCCCCCTGCCGTACCCCATACTCCTGCTCCTCCTCCTCCTGCTCCTCCTGCTCCCCCTCCTGCTGCTCCTACTGCTGCTGCTCCTGCTGCTGCTGCTCCTCCTCCTGCTCCTGCTTCGTCTCTTATCCCCAACCCTGCCCCTCCCCCCAAGCCTCCGATCACTCTTCTAGCAGCTTTCCTCGCCCGAGTCTCGAACCCAGCCACGGTTCTGACGCGCCGAAGCAGCTCCCGAGCCTGTCCCTCCCGAGCCTCCACGGCCGCTAGCAAATCGTGAAGTGCCAGCTGGCACCGACGGTTAGCCTGCAGAGCGATTCTAACTGCTGCCACGTCAGCAGAGGAGAGAAAGGAAGGATCGGCAGGAGGTTCGGAAGCAGTTGCAGCAGGAAAGCCAGGAGGTTCGGTGGCCGCAGCCAGAGCTTCATCACCAGTAGCAGGTTCGGCGACCGCAGGAGGTTCGGAAGTAGGCTCGGAACTATGAGAACCACCTGTCCCATAACCTCCAGCTGCGCCATCACTCTGTTCACCCAGGCCAGCTTCTGTTGTTTTCTCCTGGCCTTTCTCCTGAACATCTGGTGCCTCCTGACCATCCACCTGACTGGGAACTTCTCCTCCAGGTGGTGCACACAGCAGCAGTGGTATCCCCTCTGATGCGGCTTCCCCACCTACTTCTGCAGCTGCTCCCCCTTCAGCTGGGGTTACCACCACCTCTTCTTCTGGAACTACCACTGACCCTTCAGCTGGGGTTACCACCATCCCATCAGCTGGGACTGGCACTATCGCCCCTGATGCGGCTTCCCCACCCACTTCTGCAACTCCTGCCCCTTGTGCTGCTGGGGTTACCATCAATCCTTCACCTGGGGTTGCCACTAACGCCCCCCGCACTGATACAGCATCCCCTGCTCCTGCTGCTGCTGCTCCTCCTTCCTGTGCTGCAGTTACCACCATCACCTCTCCTGGGGTTACCACCACCTCGTCTTCTGGAACTACCACTGACCCTTCAGCTGGGGTTACCACCAACTCTTCTGCCGGAACCACCACAGACCCTTCACCTGCGGTTACCACGAGCGCTTCTCCTGCTAGTATTACAGCTTGCTCAGGCGCTACTCCCACTGGCGCTGCTGGTAACTGCACTTCCACCGGCGCTGTTGTCCCTGCTACTGCGGTTACCATGAGCGCTTCTCCTGATAGTACCATAGCACTATCGCTGGCACGAGCACGAGCTTGCTCAGGTGGTGCTCCCACCGGCACTGCCGTTGCCGGCACTTCCACTAGTGCTGTCGTCCCTGCTACCACTGGTGTTACCACCGAATCGTCTGCAGCGGTTACCACCAGCGCTTCTCCTGATATTACCATAGCTTGTTCAGGCAGCTGTTCAGGCGCTACTCCCATTGGCACTGCTCGTGGCTGTGCTTCCACTGGTGCTGCTGTTCCTGCTACTGGGGTTATCACCGTATCGTCTGCATGGGTTACCACGAGCACTTCACCTGATACTACCATAGCTTGTTCAGGCAGTGCTCCCTCTGGCGCTGCTGGTAACTGCTCTTCCACTGGTGCTGTCATCCCTGCCGTTACCGAAACTTTTCCAGGAGTTATCACAGACCCTTCAGCTGCGGTTACCACGAGCGCTTCTCCTGATACTACCATAGCTTGTTCAGGCAGTGCTCCCTCTGGCGCTGCTGGTGGCGGTGCTTCCAGTGCTGTCGCCCCTGCTACCACTGGTGTTACCACCGAATCTTCTGCTGCGGTTACCACCAACGTTTCTCCCGAGATTACTAAAGCTTGTACAGGTGGAGTTCTCACTGCTTCTCTCTCCCCTGCCTCCTCCTCTGCTCCCTCCTCTGCCCCCCCCTCTACCCCCACCTCTGCCCCCACTGCTGCCGCTGTGCCATCTGCCGTTCCTGCCACTCTCCTCTCCCCCTCAACCGCCACTCTCCTCTCCCCCTCAACCGCCATACCTGCTTCTGCTGCTGCACCATCACCGGTGGCAGCATCAGCCTCATCCCCAATAGCAGCAGCCAAAGGAGCAACAGCAGCAGGAGGAGCAGCAGCAGCAGCAGCAGCAGGGGAGGCTAAGGTAGAACCGAAAGGCTCTTGGATGGACTCAGCAGCAGGAGCAGGAAGCGCAAGGGTGGGAGCAAAGGGAACTAGACTCCACTCAGCAGCAGAGGCAGAGACAGAGGCAGAGGCAGACGCATGGGTGGAAGCAATAGGAACTAGACTCAACTCAGCAGCAGCAGGAGGAGGCGCAATTGCTGATGCCACCTTTCTGGAGGAAGGTGGGAGGAAGCTTCCAATAACTCCCAGCTGCCGTTCCAGCTGCCTCCGAGCCTCTGCAAGCTTCTGCAGCTCTCGCAGCTGTGCCACGTCAGCACGAGGCAATGACATATCAGCATGCGGCAATGCCACATCAGCATCACTCATAGCCACGATTCCTCCCAACTCTCTTCCCTCTTCATCCTCACCCCAACCCCCCATCCACTCATCACCACCACCACCATCACCATAACCAGCCGTAACCACTGCCTGGGGCAACTGAAACCCTCCCACCACCACTGCTTCCAATTCTCCTTCCCCTCCTTCCCCTCCTCTCCCTCCTTCCCCTCCTCTCCCTCCTTCTCCCCCTTCTTCCCCTTCTCCCCCCTCCCCTCCTTCCCCCCTTTCCCCTCCTTCCCGTCTATCCCGTCTTTCCCTTCCTTCCGCAGCAGCAGCAGCAGCAGCAGTCAGACGCTCTCGGCCTACACCCATATGCGCCCCTTTTTTCCCTTCACTCACAACCCCTCTACCTCCTTTACCCCCCTCCAAGCCTTCCCCACCCCCTCCCTTCCCCCTGCCCCTACCCCTTGCCCCTTCCATCCCCCCTCCCTTCCCCTCAGTTCCTGTTCCCCCTCTTCCCCGTCCCCGTCCCCTACCGCTTCCGCCCTCTGCTCCCTCCTCTCTGCCACCCTCCCCTCTCTCTCCTCCCTCTCCCTCACCACCAAAATTTGTCGCCCTCCCCCTTCCTCTACCTCTGCCCCTCCCTCCTCTTGAGTGTTGAGCCCCCATCTCTCCCCCACCCTCCACCTCTGCCCCAACTCCTGCCTCCCCCCCACTCCGCCCTCTTCCCCTCCCCCTGCTACCCCTTCCACCACCTCTTCCTCCGTTCACTCTCCTCCCCTCAATCTCCTCGCTGAGCTCTCTAACCTCCCTCCGCTTTTGAGTCGACTCAAAAGCAATCTCCTCGCTGAGCTCTCTAACCTCCCTCCGCTTTTGAGTCGACTCAAAAGCAATCTCCTCGCTGAGCTCTCTAACCTCCCTCCGCCCCTTATCCTCCTTCCTTTCTCCTCCTGCTACTGCTCCGCCCTCTGTCCCTCGCACCCGTGCCTTTCTTCCCCCTTTCTCTCCCCTTTCTCCCCCTGTTTCCCCCTCCCCCTTATCCCCCTTCTCTCTCGCCCGCCTCCCCCCCCCCTCTCGCCCTCCCAGCAGCCCTTCAATCTCCTCCAACAGCCAATCATCGCCCTCACCCTCTCTCCCTCCCCTCGCCTTCTTCCCCACACCTCCACCTGTCCTCCCTCCCCTCCCCCTCTTCTCCCCCCCATCCCCGGCTGCTCCCACCCCCCTCCCCCTCGTCGCCCCATCCCCATCAGCCTGTGTCACCATAAAAGGATAACTCTTGGTCGACTTCACCTGCTGCTGCACCTGCTGATAGCTCCTGGTCGACCCCACCTGCTGCACGGAGAGGCTGCAGATCTGCCGGGCAAACTCCAACAACGCCTCGTCCTCCTCTGCTTCGTCCCCTGCCTCCTCCTCTGTCTCTTCCTCCTCTCCCTCCTCTTCTTCCTCTTCGTCTTCTTCTCCTTCCTCCTCCTCTCCCTCTGTTTCTGACGCCTCCTCCTCCTCCCCTGCTTCCGCCTCATACCCTCCCCTCACACCACTAACTGCTTGTCTCACAGCCTTTCTCTTGTCTATTTTCTGCACAAGACCCACCCCACCGCCCACAACCCCTCTCCCTCGCCTGCTACCTCGCCCTCTCCCCCTCTCTGCTACTCTCCCTCCTCCTCGTTCCACTCCTCGTCCTCTCCCTCTCTCCGCCCTCCCACCCCGGCTGCTGCTCCGACCCATGCCGCTCCCCGCCCCTCTCCTCCCTCCACCTCCACCCCCCTCTCGTCCTTCCCCCAAAACCCTCTGCGTCACCCCCCTACCTCGCGCCCTCCCTCCCCTCCCACCTCGCAACTGCGTTGCCTTCACAACCTCCTCTCGTCCTTCCTCTGGAATCCTCGTCCCTCCCTTCCCACAGCGCGACTGTGTCGCCTTCACAGCCTCCTCTCTCGCCGCCTCATGCATGGGCGTTCCTGCTCTTGGCGCAAAGGACAACGCTTGCACCTCACTTGCCGCCCGTATCTGACTTGCCGCCCGACTTGCCATACGCACCTCATCTGCCGCCCGCTCCTGGTTCGAACGCACGCTTGCTGCTTGCTGTTGACCTGCTCTTGCTGCCTCCTCATCCTGCCTTGATGACGTGGCAGGCTTCACGACCATCATTTGACGCACCAATTGGAGCAATCTGTCATCCTCATCCTCCTCTTCCCCCTCCTCTTCCCCTTCCTCTTCCCCCTCCTCATCGTCCACACGTAACCTTTCTTCAACATCCACATGCCGCCGTCCCCTCTCACTCATCTCCTCGCTTCCTCCCTCCTCATCCTCCTCCGCCTCTTCCTCCTCCTCGTTTTCCTCCTCCTCCTCCTCGGTATCTTCTTCCTCCTCCATCAAACCGCCTCCTACCCCACCTTCCAGCAAGCGCATCTCGCGTCTCTGTGATTGTGACTCTAACGGGAGGTCTCTCTGAAACGGGAAAACGTTAATCGCCGAAAAGGGCGCGCCAAATTCGCTCTGAACTGCCGCAAGAAGCGCCTCGTCCTCGTCCTCCTCCTCTTCCTCTTCATCATCCTTTTCCCCCTCATCGTCGTCCTCCTCCTCGTCCTCGCCCTCATAGTTTTCGTCTTCATCATGTCGGTCGCCCACTAGGCTACTGCCACGTGTCCTCTGGCCAATCATGATAATTCTCGATATATATATATATATATACCCAGGAATGAAAATGAGAAAAGAAAACGAGAAAAGTAAACGGTTTACATTAGGGACGAATACGGTTTCTAGAAGACGTTTTCGAGCGATTATGCGAGAAACCAGTTTGGTGGACGGCGGCGCATCAGTGACGAAATAGAATGAAGGTAATTAGTGGCAGGCACAAACAATCAGTGCCTGCGGCAGGGGGGAACTGCACAGAACGATTTTGAGGAAAGATCTAGGGGTCGTAAAGAGGGTTGTGGGTTGAAGGGGTTCCACAATGCCACGTGGCGGTGCTATTGAACAGATCGGGCTGCAGAAAAAAATCCCCAGCGGATGTGACAAAAGCGAGGGTTTGACGCCAGATGTCGAAAAACCATTCGAGCACTGAGAGATTCGAACTCTCGCGGGCAGAGCCCATGTACTTAGCAGGCACACGCCTTAACCACTCGGCCAAATGCTCTTAACACCATTGTAAATTTTTTTTTGTAGTCCATTTGTTACACTGACGTTTTCATTCTCCTCGTTATTTTTTAAGGCAAGCAGTCTGACGCCATGCGACGAGCATCAGTGCAGCTCTCCTCGCTCAGCGGTGGTCGCTGGAATAATGGATTAAGCGATGTTCCTTCTGCTAGGAATGACACGTCAGCAGCATTGCATCTAGCTGAGCGGAGTGGTGCGGTAATTATAGACTCAGTCGCGGCAGCGAGCCGTGAGCATCCTGACGGTGTATCGGAGCTTCCGATATCGAACCCTTCATTTGTGTCGCCTTCCAGGAATGACGAAGGTTGCAGAGGTCGTTTCGCTAGCACGTCGCATTGTGATGCTACTCACAATGAGGTTTTCGCCTCGCCGCTCGCATTGTTTCGCGAATGCTTCCTCGACGAATCGCAGTGCGACGAGCGACGCAGCGTAGGTCGCTCTGCGACGTCGCACGGCTGTGCGAAACGAGCGGCAGAAGAGATTGCGTCCTGCGACCCCGGTGAAGACGAGAGGTCGGCTAGGAGAGTGAAAATCGCTCAACGGAATGATGGTGATTCTGACACCCATCCTGTTAGTAACAGTATTTGTCATGATGACATTAAGATATATAATTCTTATGACGGTATTACTGACAATGGCATTAAGAATGGCGGTCATTGTCGTGACGCCACGCCTGCTTATATCGGATCTTCTGGGAGGTTCCAGGCGGGTGAACGGGCCAATCAGGTGGAGCGTTCTGAAGGAGGTGATTGTATAGCTGGTGATTATAACGATGCATTGGGAATGGAAGATTCTTATGAAGACTACGACGAGATATCCGGGATGATGACTCAGCGTCAGGAGGACGCCACGTGGCACAATCAGCATTCAGATGCCCCGGAATTCGAGGAGCAGAACGGTGCACCGGGGAATGGAAGCGGTAGACGAAGGGAGCAGGAAGCTTCTGAAACGTCCCACGAACTTTCCTACCACACGGGGGTTGCTGCAGATCGAGCGGAAAGAGGCGCTGGTCTAAGAAAGGGGCAAGGGTGCGGGGGTGGGAGGAGGGATGTTGCAAGGGAGGGGCGAGCGAGTGAGTGGGGGAGGGAGAGGGGGGTCAGTGTAGGGGAGGCGCGTGAGAAAGGTGTGAGTGTGAGGGTGGAGAGTGGGAGAGGTGTGAGTGGGAGGAGGGATGATGAGGAAGAGGAGGCGAAAGAGGGGGAAAAAGAGCATGTGGTGGAGGAGGTGGGAGAAGAGAAGGATGAGGAGGAGGAAGAGGAGGAGGAAGAGGAGGGGGATGATGAAGCTGATGTGATGGAGGTTTCAGACACAGATGGTGAGAGGGAGGAACACGGGACAGAAGCAGGCGAGGAGGAAGGTGGGGAGGGAGGTGGAGGGGATGGTGGGGAGGAAGAAGAGGTGTATGGGAGCGTGGAAGAGGTTGACGTGGACTGTCCAATCTGCGGCTGCCACCTGTCCCATCTGGAGCCAATCAGACGCGAGCAGCACTCCAACGCATGCCTGGATGCCTGGGGACGGGACAAGGGGGAAGAAGAGGAGACAGAGACTTGCAAAATGGGAGCCGATACGGATGCCAGGGGGAGGGACAGGGGGGAAGAGGAAACGGAGAGGGGGAGAATGGATGGTGGTGGCGGAGTGAAGGCCGCAGCATACGGGAAGCGAGAGGAGAGAGGGGGGAGGGAAGAGGAGGAGGGAGAGCGCTCGAACGCATGCCTGGATGAGGAGCGCTCGAACGCATGCCCGCATGCGTGGGGAAAGGATAGAGGGGAAGGGGAAAAGGAGATGCGCAGAACTGGGGTTGGCGGCAGAGTGACGGGCACAGGGGTGACGCGAGAGGAGAGTGGTGCGAGGGAAGAGGAGGAGGGAGACGAGAAAGAGGAGGAAGAGGAGGGAGAGGAGGGAGAGGATGAGAATTCTGCAATGGCTAGGATGCTGTGGAGGAGGATAGAGGCGGATAGCATGGGGATGACGATGAAGGCTTGGAGGAAAAAGTTGGTGGAGGTGAGGGGAGAGGAGTGTGAGGAAGAGGAGGAACAGGAGGGGAAGGACAATGGAGAGAAGGGAAAAGGAGAGAGGGAGGCGGAGGAAACTGAGGAAGTGGAGAATGAAAGGCGGCAATTGGTTGGACAATCAGGTGATGTTTCAGGTGGTTTATCAGGTGCTGCTGCTGCCCAGAAGCGGCTAATCACCGACTTCTTTGGAGGCAGCAACAGGCACAGGCCACCCCAGCAGCAACAGCAACAGAAAGCAATTGGGGATGTCGCCCCAACGGCTGGGATTCCCAGTGGCCTGCAGCAAGGAGCAGGACGGGGTGTGAGGTGGGGAGGAAGGTTCGAAGGGAGGGGCGGGAGTGGGAGAGGTGGAGGTGGAGTGAGTGGGAGCGGGGGAGGAGGGATGTCAAGGGGCAGAGGTGGAGGCTGGAATGGGGGAAGAGGGAGAGGTGGGGTGTTGGTGCCAGAGGTGTGGGAAATTATTCCAGGCACTGACTTTCTGGTGGTGAGTGTGTGTGGGTAGGATGGTAGTTCTGAGTGCAGTCAACGCTTATCGTAGCATCCGATTTTGAGAATTCTCAAATGCAATTCCATCCTTCCTTCTTTCCCTCCTCATGCGGTGGTGCATTTGCATGTTTTCCGCGTTCGCTTGGCTTCCCGGTATGAAAAGGTTTCTTCACTACATTCGCTCTTTTCACCCTTTGCCACCCAACTTCTTGTAAGATTGATAGGCGTATTCTGAGTCGACTCATATGCATTCACTGCCTCTCTGCATTGCATCAGATGGGATGCATTTAGGCGCACCTCACCTTTTTCCCCTTTTCCCCCTATCCCCGCTCCCACTGCTTCTCACAGGATGCATTCAAGCGCACCTCGCCCTCCTGCCACCACTGGTTCCTCACTCACTTCCACGCTGACCGTACGTCTCTCCTCACTTTCCCCTTCCACCCTCCCCACTCCCTCCCCCCTTCCCCCTTCCCCCTTCCTCCTTCCTCCCCTCCTGCCCCCACTGGTTCCTCCTCACTCACTTCCACGCTGACTGTGCATCTCTTCCCCCTTCCTCTTGGCCCAATCTTCCTCTTGCCTCCTTCATTTCTTATCTCCTTTGCAGCTCTGCTTCTTCCCTTTCTTTGCAATTCTCTCCTCTTCGCTCGTTCTTGTATTCTCAAAGTCTTGTTGCATCGTCTCTTCCTTTCTGCCCCCTGCCCCCAGACTACAACGGTCTGACCAAATCGTTCCGCTTTGGCACCGTCTACTGCTCCCCAGTCACTGCACGGCTCGTCAAACTCCGTCTCGGGCTGCCCGGAGAGAAAATTTGCGAGCTGCCCATGGGCGAGCGGGTGGAGATTGCAGGCGTGGGAGTGACACTAATGGATGCGAACCACTGCCCGGGGGCAGTTATGATTTTGTTCGAGCCTCCTAACGGACAGGTGGGTGAGGGTATACATACATACACTAGGTGCGTACCACTTGTTGGAAGAACCACTGCCAGGAGGCAGTAAGGATTTCGTTTGAGCATCCTACTGGCCAGGTGGGTGCGGGTGAATGAATAAAGTGCGCAATGCAACAAGATATGTTGACTTTGTCAGCGCGTTGACTTTATTTTCCTCTCTCACTCCCCCTCCAAACCACACCCTAGCTAGGCAGTGCCACACACGGGCGACTTCAGCTCTTCCCTGCCTTGCTTGCTGCCGCATGCCTGCGGTTCCTTCTCTCCCCTCCCTCCTCTCTCTTCCCCAATCTGCTCAAGTGTAACGGCTGCATCCCCCTCTCTCTCCACACCCCAGGCAGTGCTACACACATGCGACTTCAGATGGCACCCCTCCAAGGCTGCTCTGCCCTGCCTCGCTGCCTTGCTTGCTGCCACATGCGCACCATTCTTCCTCTCTCCCCCCCACTCCCCCTCAACGCACACAGGCAGTGCTCCACACGGGCGACTTCAGATGGCACCCCTCCATGGCTGCTCTGCCCTTCCTTGCTTGCTGCCACATGCCTACCATTCCCCTTGTCCTCCCTCACCTCCCACTCCTTCCTCTCTTCCCTCCCTCATCCCATCCCAGGCAGTGCTCCACACGGGCGACTTCAGATGGCACCCCTCCATGGCGGCTCTGCCCAGCCTCGCTGCAACGTGCATTCACACACTCATCCTCGACACCACCTACTGCCACCCCAAGGTGACTCAGCATTCAAGTGTGTGGCACTGTGTGTGCATGCAACCTGTTCTCTTTTCTCTTTTCCCTGCACTTCTGCTCTTCTCTGCATTGTTGCCACACGCTTTCACACGCTCGTCCTTAGCATTGCCTACCGCTACGGTGCCACCCCATGGCAATTCACTGTTTCATCTGTTCCCTGCGTGGTTCTCACAGCAAAGTATGGCTACACTCATCCCCGTTCCCTCTACAATTCTGCTCTTTCTGCCCTGCCTCATTGCCACACGCATTCACACGCTCATCCATGGCTGGCTTCACCCACATGCCACCCCAAGGTGAATCATTCACCATGCTCCTTGTAATTCTGCTCTGCCCTGCCTCATTGCCACACGCATTCACACGCTCATCCATGGCTGGCTTCACCCTGCCCCCTCCATCCCACTCCACCCCCCTCCGTTCCCCCTCCCCCTCTCCTCAACCCTATGCCAGTAGGGTGTTTTTGAGAATTCTCAATAACACCCCTCCGTTCCCCCTTCCCCTCCCCTCAACCCCACCACGCCAGTACGAGTTCCCCCCGCAGGAAGCGGCGCTCCAGTTCATGGTGGAAGCCATTCAAGCAGAGGCGAGTAGATGGACCCAATCTAACCCCCCTCAACCCCACTCCACTCCACTCCACTCCCCTCAACCCCACCACGCCAGTACGAGTTCCCTCCTCAGGAGGCGGCGCTGCAGTTTGTGGTGGAGGCCATTCAAGCAGAGGCCTTCAACACCAGTGCGCTCTTCCTCCTCGGCACCTACACCATCGGTGCGTGTGTGTTAGTGCTGCTGCGGCTAGTTGCCAGGGCACTCTGTATGCTCTCTGTAAGCCGTCTGATGCACTTCAAGCAGAGGCCTTCAACACCAGCGCACTCTTCCTCCTCGGCACCTACACCATCGGTGCGTGTGTGCTAGTGCTGCTGCGGCTAGTTGCCAGGACACTCTGTATGCTCTCTGTAGGCCTTTAACACCAGCGCGCTCTTCCTCCTCGGCACCTACACCATCGGTGCGTGTGTGTTAGTGCTGCTGCTGTGCTCTGCATGCTCTCGATGCTCTGTACTCTATACTCCGCTGTGCTGCTTGCTGCTAGTGTGCTCTCCCTGTGCTCTCTCTATGCTCTCTCTGTGCTCTCTGTAAGCTATGCGGGGCGCCTCAAAAGGAGTTCAGCAGCAGCGCGCTCTTTCGCATCGGCACATACACCATCGGTCCAAGCACCTATTCCTGTACTGACCGACCATGTGCCTCTTTATACCAACCATCAGTCTTTTCGGAAGCCACGAAGGCCCGCTCATGAGGAGAGGTATGTGGGGGCGGTGAAGAGACGCCTGTTAGGGTGCGTTGGGCTGTCACATGGTAACATGGTAACATGGCTGTACATGCATGCACTTACCATCCCACCCCACCTCACGTCCCAGGCAAGGAGAAGGTGTTTCTGGAAGCAGCCAAAGCTCTGAAGTGGAAGGTCTATGTGGGGGCGGTGAAGAGACGCCTGCTGGCATGCTTCCGGTGGAAGGTCTATGTGGGGGCGGTGAAGAGACGCCTGCTGGCATGCCTAGGGCTGTCCGATGAAGATCTGGCACCCCACTTTTGAGGCGCCTCAAAAGTCGTCTCTCTACCCCCACTTTTGAGGCGCCTCAAAAGTCGTCTCTCTACCCCCACTTTTGAGGCGCCTCAAAAGTCGTCTCTCTACCCCCACTTTTGAGGCGCCTCAAAAGTCGTCTCTCTACCCCCACTTTTGAGGCGCCTCAAAAGTCGTCTCTCTACCCGCAATTTTTATATTGATCGAAGATCTGGCACCCCCACGGTCCCTCCCCACCCCGCATCCCAGGCAAGGAGAAGGTCTTTCTAAAAGCAGCTAAGGCGCTCAAGAAAAGGGTGTATGTGAAGAGACGCCTGCTGGCATGCCTTGGCCTCTCTCTATGATGTGTTGTCATGGCCGTGTATGCATGCACCCCACCCCACCCCACCCCATCCCACTCCTTCTTTACCCAGGCAAGGAGAAGGTGTTTTTGGAAGCAGCCAAAGCTCTGAAGCGGAAAGTGTATGTGGGGGCGGTGAAGAGACGCCTGCTGGCATGCCTTGGTTTGTCAAATGATGACATGGCGTGGGTGGCTGGGGACGGCGAGGAAGCTTCCACGAACCTGCACGCCGTGCCGCTATGGTCCATCTCCAGCTTCAAGAGAATTGAGCACATTGCCAAGTTCCACAGGGTAAGTCCGGGATGATACACCCTTCTCATAGGGTAAGAAAACCCTTGGTTTTCTAAGAAATCGGTGCTGTTGAAGCGCTGTAAATGACATCTGTTTGATTTCACCATACTCGTTGAACTGTGACCGCTGTTCACATTCTCACCCCTGTCTCTTTTTTTTATTTGATTTTCTTTTTTCTTTTTTGCTGGCCAGCAACGCTATTCCACCATTATTGCCTTCTCGCCATCCGGCTGGGCGTTTGACAAGTGCAAGAAGGCACGACCCATCAGGCGAACACAGCGAGGCACCATCGTGAGGTGAGACTTCAATGAATTTTGCTCATTGCTAGGTTCGATGGGTAGGGCTGATAAGGGGTGCTTTTTCATTTTTATCTGGTGTGCCACGGTCACGATTCCGTGAGCATCTGTACTGTACACCCTTTCTTTTTGGGCAGGTATGAAGTACCCTATAGTGAGCACAGCAGCTTCTACGAGCTTCAGGAGTGTGTGAAGGCTGTTAACCCGGAAATCATTATTCCATCTGTGCACAATCGCGGGCATGGAGCAGCACAAGCCATGGTGACATTACTGGCTGAAGGAGCAGTTTAGCTAAGTTACAAGTTGCTGTGCTTTCAGTCTGTAGCACATTCGAAGGTGAAACAACTCTACACATTATTTGTACATGTACCGTAGAATCTTCAGGTGTGTCCTGAACGGCTGTCAAGATTTTCTTTTACACTGATAAGCAAAAGATAATAAGGTAACATGTCTTCGTGCATACGGTATGCGTAATTGTCAGAGGTGCACTGACGATCCCCGATTGATCCTACGGAAGGGTTACAGGCACGTTGGCCTGGGGGGGTATGGGCGCACTCACCCGCTACTCAAACATGTTGGGCTGAAAAAAGGCCCTTAGGATCTTTGCAGGACTAAACTCCTGGTAGGACTGATGTGATAGCGGAAGCGTTTAATGAAAGGTTGTGAACCACCTTGCGCTGGTGTGAGGGCAAAGTAGATTGATAATAACAAAGAGGTACAAGCTTTTATAAGAGTACAAGAAAATATGAAGAGTTATAACTAATAACCGTTTTGTTGTTGCTGTTGCGGTTCGATACAGTGACGACTCGGGCAACTGCTCAATAGCGAGTCAGTTGTTTGTCCTTGCTGTCGCGCTGTACTTGTCAGGTCAAAGGTCGCTGACCTTTGACTTTCGCGTAACCTCCAGCAGTTGTTCAACCTCTGAGGGTTGATTCGCTGATGCTTCGATATGTTCCGCTTCGTTTCTGACTTGGTGTTTCGACACGACAGAGGCGCTTAAATCAATTGTTTCCAACACTCTGTCAAACATTATATGTTTATATTGTGTAGGCTATAGTGGGTTTAGCCTTAGGGGGTACAACTTTGCTAGGGTTGCCTACTTGTATCCCCATCATTCCTAGTTTGATCATTCTCGTTCTATTCTAGATTCTAACAGGTAATCACGAGCCTAGGTTGCTACCTAGGACCGCTTTCTACTACGGGCCCACCATTCCGCTAGAAGCGCCCTCGTGCGCCCTACCTTACGTGCGCCCTCGTGCGCCTTTCTCTGCTCGTGCGCCCTCGTGCGCCCTCGTGCGCCCTCGTGCGCCTTTCTCTGCTCGTGTGCCCTCGCGCGCCCCGCCCTTCGGTCTGCCCGAGTGCCGTCCTGTAGCCCTCGCGCTGCCTCCTGCAAGCTAGTACGGCCCTCGAGCCGCCCCTGCAGGTCCGTCAGGCCCCCGAGCCGCCTCTGCAGACCCGTCAGGCCCCCCCCGAGCCGCCTCTGCAGGCCCGTCAGGCCCGAGAGCCGCCCCTGCAGACCTGTCAGGCCCGCGCGCAGCCTCTGCCCGACCGCGCGCCGCCCCTGCAGGCTCTCGCCGCCCGCCGCGTCGCCCTGCCCGCGGCGTCGCCGCCTGCCCGCGGCGTCGCCACCTGTCCGCGGCGTCGCCACCTGTCCGCGGCGTCGCCACCTGCCCGCGGCGTCGCCACCTGCCCGCCGCGTCGCCCTGCCCGCGGCGTAGTCACCTGCTCGCCGCGTCGCCCTGCCCGCGGCGTCGCCACCTGCCCGCCGCGTCGCCCTGCCCGCGGCGTCGTCACCTGCTCGCCGCGTCGCCCTGCCCGCGGCGTCGCCACCTGCCCGCCGCGTCGTCACCTGCCCGCGGCGTCGCCCCTGCTCGCCGCGTCGCCCTGCCCGCGACATCGCCACCTGCCCGCCGCGTCGCCCTGCCCACGGCGTCGCCACTGCCCGCCGCGTCGCCCTGCCCGCCGCGTCGCCACTGCCCGCGCGTCGCCCCTGCCCGCTGAGTCGCCCTGACCTAACCCGCGCCTGGCCTCTGGAGCAGCCGCCCCTGCAGCAGCCGCCCCTGGCTCCTGGAGCAGCCGCCCCTGCAGCAGCCGCCCCTGGCCACTGGAGCAGCCGGCCACTGGAACAGCCGCCACTGCAGGAGCCGCCCCTCGCCCCTGGAGCAGCCGCCCCTGCAGCAGCCGCCCCTGGCCACAGTAGCAGCCGCCCCTGGAGCAGCTGCCACTGCAGGAGCCGCTCCTGGCCCCTGGAACAGCCGCCCCTAGAGCAGCCGCCCCTGGAGCAGCCGCCCCTGGAGCGACCGCTGTGGCGGCCCCGCAGTCGCCCCGCTCGTACGCCTGCCCTTCCCACCACTGGTGAGCACTGCCCTGCCCGTACTACTACTGCTGTTACTCTGCTGCTACTGCTTCTACTGCTGCTCCTGGCATGGCCAGATGCAGCTCCAGGGCCGTCCGCGTGTGTCCCTCACGCCCCAGCAGCTTCGTGAGTGGTACGCCGGTTGGGGTTGTCGGGGTGGCAGTAGTGGGAGTCGTCCTGGAGTGGGTAGTTCGGGAGTTTCTTGTAGTGGCCCGGTGCAGCAGCCGCGTCGTCTACGCGAGGCTCTTTCGCCCCAGCAGCTTCGTGAGTGGTACGCTCAGAGTAGAGGGTCACTGAGTACTGCTCGCTGCCCGTACGTCATTCGCACAGGTGTCCGGACTGGTCAGCCTTGCGCACACAGAGTCCCACTGCTTCGCCCGTCTGGGCGACGTTTGGCGTACAGAGCTTGGCGACGACGCTGAACTCCCCGACTGGGTGGAGCTGCTTAGGCAGAGGGTAGATATCTTTGCTCTTGACTATGATGCTATCCTCACTACCATGTATGCATTGTCTACTAGTGCTGAGAGTGCCTGTCACCTGTGTGTGCCGCCTGACCCCGGTATCCAGTCTACTGCTCTAGGTACTGGTGAGGCTGCCGCTCTAGGTGCTAGAGTGTCTGTTGCCCCAGGTGCTGGTGAGGCTGCTGCTCTAGGTACTCGTGAGTCTGCCCCCCCTGGTACTGAGTCTACTGAGGCACTGCACACCTTCACACTGGACTCAGGTGCTTCTCTCTGTTTCTTTCGTGACCGCACTGCCCTTGAGCAGCTTGCTCGGCCAGTTGCTGTCTCCCTTGCTGACCCCTCTGGGGGTCCGGTCATTGCGACCTCCTCCACTGTCCTTCCTTGTCCTGCGGTTCCGTCGGGCACACTGTCAGGTCTCCACCTCCCCTCGTTCTCTACGAACTTGGTGGCGGGTTGTGCGCTCCAGGACGGGGGTGTCCACCAGTTCACCCCTGCCTACGAGCGCGTGACACACTGCACGTGTGCGCGGACGGGCCGTCACCTGGCTACCTTCACTCGGCAGCCGGGGTCGGACCTGTACACACTGACCACTGAGTCCCCTCAGGTAGCTGCGTCTGCGTCTGCTTCAGGTCAGCTGTCTGCCCCCTGCTCGTGTCGCTCTCTAGCACACGAGACCGTCCTCTGGCACCACCGCCTTGGTCACCCGTCAGTGCAGCGCCTTCGTGCCATGCACACACGGTACCTTGTCTCTGGTCTTCCCCGGGTACTCCCTCCCCTCCCACCCTCGCCTGCTCCTCCCTGTCTTCCTTGTGTCGAGGGGCGGCAACGTGCCGCTCCTCACTCCTCCTCGTTTCCCCCGACGACTGCTCCCTTGCAGACGCTCCACATGGACGTGTGGGGCCCAGCCCGCGTCCGTGGACAGGGTCACGAGAGGTACTTCCTGATCGTTGTTGACGACTACACGCGTTACACCACGGTCTTCCCCTTGCGCACCAAGGGTGAGGTCCCTGATGTCTTGATCCCTTGGATCCGCGCTTCTCGTCTCCAGCTCAGCGAGCGGTTCCACTCAGACTTTCCTGTCTTGCGTCTGCACTCTGACAGAGGTGGTGAGTTCTCCTCCGACCTCTTGGCAGCCTACTGTGCGGAGCACGGCATCCGCCAGTCGTTCACGCTTCCGGCCTCTCCACAGCAGAATGGGGTTGCTGAGCGCCACATTGGCTTGGTCATGGAGGTCGCTCGTACCTCCTTGATCCATGCGGCTGCTCCCCACTTTCTGTGGCCATTTGCGGTCCGGTACGCTGCGCATCAGCTCAACCTCTGGCCCCGTGTCTCCTTGCCGGAGACCTCGCCCACACTGCTGTGGACGGGGGAGGTTGGCGATGCGTTGCGTTTCCGGGTCTGGGGATCTCGAGCTTTTGTCCGCGATACGTCCGCGGACAAGCTCTCCTCCCGCGCTGTTCCTTGTGTCTTCCTTGGCTTTGTCCCGGACGCGTCTGGTTGGCAGTTTTACCACGCCACCTTGCGCCGTGTCCTGCCCTCTCAGGACGTCACTTTTGACGAGTCGGTGCCCTACTACCGCCTCTTCCCCTACCGCACTGCCCCGCTCCCCCCCCCCGCCTCTCTTCCTCGCGCCAGGTGCTGCTGTGGTAGACCCCCTCCCCCCTCAGGGTGCCGCTCCCTCAGGTGTGTCTCAGGTAGACCCGGTTGAGCCTGTCGAGGTAGCTGTCGACTCTCGTCCTGCTAGGGGTGCTGAGCCTGAGCGTGCGGAGCCTGGGGGTGCGGAGCCTGGGGGTGCGGAGCCTGGGGTTGCGGAGTCTGGGGGTGCTGAGCCTGGGGGTGCGGAGCCTGCGGGTGCTGAGTCTGGGGGTGCTGAGTCTGGAGGTACTGAGCCTGGGAGTGCTACACCTGGAGGAGCTTGTTGGAATCACTGAACAGGAGTGAATGAACTAGCAATGAAAAGAGTACAAGTACCTAACCCTAGAATTGTGTACCCCCTATAGGCTAACCCACTGTAGCCTAAACTAACACAACATATATAATGTTTGACACACCCCCATAGGCAAAGTGGGGGAGAACTAGGGGTCACAAGACCAGTCAAGGCAAAGCAAGGCAAAACAAGCTCAGGGTGGATCTCAAGGATACCACACAAATTCCGAGCACAAGCAAGTGGTCACAAGACCAGT